TCCGAAAGATCTGTGATCTTTCTAAAGACTCAATAGCAGAATCATAAAATCAAACAATGGCAATAGCAGTTGACTCATAAATAGATATGTGTTAAAAAACCTGCTGTCTTTACAACACGTAAAAGGGAATAGTTTTAACATACCAATGGTCCATTTATAGCAGCGAAGAATTCTAATGCAAGGACATACTGCCATCTGCCGGCCAGTGAAGGGACGTACAAGGATTAGAAAGAAATACACACTGCCCAGAATATATCTATTATTCAACAATCAGTGAAACTTTGTGTAATACATCAAAGTGAAATACTGCTTGTTCAGGACTCTTTAGAAAAATAGCTTCTTAATCTCAATGGGACTTTCCTTATTCATACTAAAATAATTCCGTATTCATTATTTTAGTATGTAACTCCGCAGTGTAACTGTAGGGGAGAAAATAGTTGACTAAATGTAATTTTGATTTAATGCTAATTTGAGGAAACAAAACAAGAATTATAGTGAAACATGACTTGTGACTTTCCTCCTTTTGCACAATCTGAGTGTCTCTATCCATGCCAAATGTGACATGTAAATTTCTCCTATGTGAGATAAATAAAGCACATCTTATCTTAAAAGGATCAAATAGCATCGTCATGATCATTCCTGTTCTGGACCAAAAGTTGTATAACTTAATTTAAAATACGTAATATTGTAATACAAATAAGTCACAGTTTCATCCCAGTAACACGTGATACAATTTTAACTTAATATTTACAGTCTTTGAACTTACCCCAAAACGATCAGCTCGTGTTACTTTCACAGGTTTAAACCAGGTGGAAACACATTAATATATACAGTCTGTGGAAAACTCCATGTTCCTGTTCAGAAAAAACATGGCGCCACTGCGTTTGTTTATGTCGTCCATAAACTTACATTTTAGGGATGTTAGGTCAGTGACAAGTCAGCTCATATTGTTGCTATTACGGCTGATCAAACGGTTAGGATTATTCTAAAGTTTATATTATCGTATCTGTACTCTGAGCTTTTAAACAGAATTTGAGGTGTAGGATAAATACATCCATGTGTAGGATCTAGAGTCAGACGCAGATGAAAGAGTGCCACCATGGATCTAGTGCCACCTAGTGGACAAACGTGGCGCTCAGTATGTAGTCAAACCCCAATGAATGTATTTACTCTTCCTTGGAATCCAGTAAACTGGATATGAGCTTTTATTTATACCTATAGTTTTATCCAGTAAACACTTTCTTACATTTCACGAACTAACTTTGATAGCTTCATTCTCTTGTGCCATTTTGTTTTAAGTGTTAAGATAAGATACACTTTATTGTCCCAAGGGAAATTTGCTGTAGGACACACTGCTACACAGATCTGCAGCATGAATGAAAAAAGAAAGAAAAAAGAAAGAAAAAAGGAACAATTACAGGAAAGTGCAGTAGTGCTTTGAAGTCTGTTTGGTCAAAAAAAAAACCTATTGAGCACAGTATGGATCATCCATGGTCAGGTTTGAAGAGAGTCACATGTACGTCACAAGTGGCTCTGGCCTCACTGTCTGTAGTTTAGAGATCTGCAGCTCAGTGTTGAGTGTGGGATGTCTCAGTCTCAGTCCGATCCTGAGTGTGGGATGTTTCAGTCCGATCCCTGGGGCCACATGAGGACAGCTCCTCACAATGAGCTGGAGCGGCTCCATAATGAGCATAGGACACTGCAGTACTTTATGGCTTTAAGGTTGCCAGATAGGGCGTTTGATTGAGAACAGGATGATGCAGCCTCATGTGCTGTGGATCTATACAAGTGCCCTTCCTAAAAGTGCAGTCAGCTCCATCTCAAGCCTCGCTCTTCACAATTGGGATGACAGAGGTCGAACAATCTTTGAAAAGTTACAATATTGCCAATTATTAAGGGCCGTGCAACTTCCTGAAGTCCAAATGCATGGTGCTTTGTTTTATTAATCTATTAGTGTGGAGCAGGTGGAAGGTGAGCTCTGTGCAGGTGGACTCAGCTCATAAGGATAAATATGTAATGAATCAGGATTTTTCTAACATGCAGGTGCACAATCTCCACCAGAAACTTTACTTTCTGTGGTAGTTTGCACTCAATTGTACTCAAGCTAAAAGTTAATGACACAATAAACAAGACACATTTATACAAAAAGCAATTAGCCTTTTTTAATCTTACATTGCATTGAAAATTTACATAATAGATTCATACATTTTACAAATATTTCATCATAAAAATATATTTCTGTACAAAACACTTTTTATTTTATATTTTATATATTTTTTTCTTCAAACGGTGAATATTTCCAATGTCCCCAGGCAGAAACGGTCAAGTCTTCCAATTCACATGGGTCTTATTGCGGTCAGTCAGTAGGACAAGCTTGTGGCAAAGAAGGAATGACCCGAGATGAAAAGCTGTAGCAGGTGCTGTCGCGTTGTTGAGTGCGTGTGCCGTGTTTAAGGGAGGGTCCTATGGTTCGGTAGGCACTGCGTCAGATCCATACCCAAGAAAAAGACACAACATGACAAGAACGGCAGCAACAGTCAACCCAAAGTCAATGCAAACCACTAGAACAATGCAACATCATTATCTAACATGGGAACGAATGGAGAATACCAATACACTTTTAAATGATGACTTATGGCACAAGGAATCAAAAGTGAGGGTCTAGTAAAAAGTACAGTCGCTCGCAAAGCCATTTTAAAACTACTGCATGTGGCGCCATAGATCTCAAAAACTCTATCACTATTTTCTTTTGACTTTTGGACAATAACGTAAGGCTCTTCATAGTCAGTCCACAGTAAATCAATAGGCAGCTTTTAATGACTTGGTTAATTTTGTTCTGTTGACTTTAAAACTAGATTTTGTTCTTTGTCTTTTTTCTGAAAAAGCATTAGAATGGATGCACTAGTGGTAAATTGAATACGGCGGCTCTGAGTTCACAGATTTGACATCTCTCAGTGGTGATATGTGAAAGCTCTATGATGGACAGATGGATGGATCAACAGATTATGGGAAATATGAAACGACAAATATAACAAGTAAAGCAATGTAACACTGAGCTGAGTTGATAAGGCTAATACTTCCCCAGGGTTTTCTCAGATCGTATCATATTTAGAAATCTGCTAAAATTATATCTGTTTATTTTGGATGAAAAACCCTTTTCTTTGTAAATAATATTGAATCTATTATTCCTTCCTAAAATAGATTCAGTTTAACACCTTCACGTACGCCATGTTCAAGCAGCAAAAGAAATGTGAAAAGAAAAACATTTAGGAAAGACTGAGACATCATTCACACTTCAGATTGGGCAGTTCACCAGCAAAGATCACGATCCTTTTTTCTAGTGTACATGTTTATACGGCTACCATTGCCTTCTAGACATCTCCATAAAATTACCGTTGAATGTTTGAGCTGTACAATGTGGGCAGCATCACATTACATTGAGTTTAAAGTGCAGTTTTTGGCTGATAATTAAGACGCTGACATGAGAACATTGTGATGGACACCAGCTCAAATAAAATGACTAACACTATTTTGAAAGTTCTAAGATTTATGAAGTGCTTTGTTTTGTGTAAAAAGGTTGGAATAAGTTTTAACCTGCTTGATTGTTGCTGGTAAACCTTAAACGTCAACAATAATGACAACTGTACTGTTCCAGCGACACTCCTGATTGCCTCAGTGGAACAATAGCAACAATGGGAGAAACTTCACAAAAAACTCAAATGTTACAAAAGAGCCGCGACTTCTCTGAAATCACAAATCTTTGACTCAAGTTATTATTTTTTTCCCCATATCTCTGATAATCCATCTTTCCCACCCCCTCCCTTCTGGTAAATATATAGCACAAAAATATAGATGGGTGAATGCTCCCGACTATATATGCAATAGATTTACAGATCAGAAGATTCTGCAGCAATAACCAAGAAAGAAGAGAAGCACTCATAGAGTGCAGAATCACAGTGGACGTTCATCCACGGTCGGACAAAACCTTCATGTCTCCTGTCCGTCTGTTCTCAGTGCCACACTGTCCACCTGTGCAGGACAATAGGAGACTCAGGACAGTGGAGACCCTGCTTTTAGACCAGTCTTTGTCTTCGTAATCCCTGTCAGGACGGAGCCACATGTAAACCTCAAGTCCACTGTGTGGTTCCTGCAGAATGTGCTTTAGTGACAGAGCTCGTTGTCTCCAGGGTCAAGAACATCTCCTCTTCCTCGTGTGAAGAGGAAACCCAACCTTTAGCTGATTATGGTCAGGGTAGGTAACTTCATGTTTCTCTTCTTAGTTAAGCAATGGACACAAAGGAGCAGTTTCTCCACTGAGTTGGTCCTGTTAGTGCAAAACTCCAATTTGTCTTCACTTTAAGTTTGGATGATGCTACTGTCTTTACATTTGGATTTACATTTCCAACTCAATTGTAGTTAGTAACAACATATTTGCCCTCTGTGGTGTCTTGTGTTTGGGTAAAACCCTTACAAATCTGTGGTTGGCATAAGTTTTTTTTATATCTTGTTCAAAATTGCGTTTACTTCTTTTCAGAGTTGGTTAATTCATTCCCATTGTCTATTCAATCCTCTTCATGTTTGAGCCACACGACTGTTCAAGTGGGAACACAACAGTGGTGCTGTTTTGTGACTGTGAGAGCAAGATCCACTCAGTAAAGGCAGAGCCACAGGTGAATGGAGACAGTGGCGAGTCCTGGACTTTTAGACTTCTGCATCTGAAGATGAGCCTCAAGCACAACATATGAGCTGCACCTGCTTTCATATAAAGATGGCCAGTGATTTCTGTAGAATCAGCTCTTAACTTTACGTGGGACTTTTCCACACTAAATTGCGAATCCAAAGTTGTTCTCCATTTACTTCCAGGGATTTGGACAGAAAACTATTTCCAATCAATTTTTGTGGCCAGCTCCAAGTTGAAGCACTCCACCTCCACAACTTTGTATCAACTGTGGTTCCATTAGATATTGGAGTCATTTAATTCCAGTGAGTATAATCAATCCTCAGACCATGGTGCAGACAGTATTTAGATTGGGATCGAAGCGCACTGCTTTCCCCTCCACTGCCTTGGCGTTGGTGTTGTACATGGGGTTCTCGAAGGCAGCTTGGCCATTATTATTTTCATGGACTGAGCAGCCGGTGTACTGGGTTTTTGGTGTTGTTCTGTAAAAACGAAATAAAATAACAAACACACATTAGCATATTAGGCAAAGCTGGAAGAGTCTTGTAAATTATGTTGAACACACGTAAAACACAGTCGTATTAAACAAGAAAAACTAAGCATTATTATTACGGTACTTTTTCATTTCACGCTAACTGTAAGTAGAACATATATGGTGAAACAAATATGACGGTTTTAACATGCATTCCAGAAGGAGGAGTTTATCTTTTGTTAAAATTCGAAAATTACTAGCTGCAAACACAGCCATGTCATTGTAAAGAGCCTCATTTCACTTGAAAAATGGCTAAACTAATTCTAATAAACCATTACTAATTTATGGGCAATATTTTAGTTTTGAAAAGCAGAAAACTCCGAGCGTGACTTCATCGTGATACAATGACATCAAACTATTACAGGTCAGAGACACAAACTTTTAGATAGAAGTGGCACAAATACATGTGTGTGAGCGAAGTTCCTGGTATTCTGGTATCTTTAAGTGTACCTAATGTTAAGTATTTCTGCCAATGGTTAAAATGAAAGAGCGAGTAAAGACGTCGTAAATAAGCACTGAGGAGGATTAGAGTTTATAAGGAGCCTAGTGTGATTCAAATCTGCCCATCCAAAACTAATTCCTTAACCCTTGTATTATGTTAAGGGTCAATTTGACCCATTTCAGTTTTTGAGTTGATCAAAGTACTGGTTATTCTTTCTTTTTCTTGCTGAAATTTGGTGACTTTTCCTCATCTAGGGTCATGAACTGGTGTGTAAAATCTGGACACTTTGATGTGTAGTGGAATGTCTGTGCAGAGTTTGTATACAAAGATGATGTTGCGGGTCATTTTGACCCAGACGCTTCAATGTGGGTAAATTGTTGTTCAGATCCAAAAAAAACATGTTTCTTTGACATTGTATTTTGATTGCCTCTGAGACCCAGAGCCAGGTGTGTGAATAGAGGGAACTTTCTCACACTTGACCTTGTCACTGTTGTTATGTCATCTCTTTTGCCTAGCGTACATCGGACTGGCAACTGAATATATCCGTCGCCTTTGAGTTGCTGCCCCGCACACATAGAAAATCTGGCGAAAACGGGCAACTCCTAGTAGCAGGCCAGTCTCGGGAATAACAGCGGGTACATTGACAGCAACTGGCCTCAACTACAGTGTGTTTTCTGACATAAACTATAGAGGGCGCTATACACGCAATACACACATGTTGTTGGAGCGCGCACATCGGGTGATATCTCCGGATCTGAGGACAAAAGTAGAACACGGGCAACTGACTGAATCCGGAGATCAACTTTATCTCCAGTTGTAAGAGCGCTCACATCGACCGATTTTGGCAACTGATCATCTCCATCATTGCCAAAAGCCGCCTTGCAACTAGTTGTCTCCAGTTACTCTGTCGATGTGCGCTAGGCTTTAGACAAACTCACCAAAAATGAGCTCCAGAAGGATGACATCTGAGGACGCTTTATCACAGATTTTAAATTGGGATAGTCATGTACAGTAGAGGAAGAGATTTCAGAAACAGAGGATTTTTCAGAGACAGAGGACAATGTTATTGCTGATCCAGATTATCAATTTTCCTACAATAAGGAGGATTCAGAGGACGAATCTTTGGTCAAGGAAAGAGGAAGGGAGGACGGACGGAAGGTAGGAAGGAAAGACGGGAGAAAGGAAGGAAGGAAGGAAGAGAAAAGAAGGGAATAGATGAGGATGAACAGAGAGAAGGAAAACAGAATGAGAAAAAGGAAGGAGAAAGCATGGCAGGAGGAAAGAATTGTCATTTTGACCCGAGAGGCGGACAAGAAGATTAGACTAAATATTTCTTAAATATAGCGTTGGAATGAAAAATGCATTGAATGTCACTTTTCTAAATATTTATATAACCTAAAATAAAGTTGTTATTGGTTTAACCTGTTTTCTTGACTGTTTTGAGTGCATTTACACAGTATGGGTCAAAATGACCCGCAACATAATCAATGTCATTTTTTTTCAACATAATACAAGGGTTAAGAGCAGGCCTTTTCGAATACTTACAACTGAATAGTCACATCAGGTGTTAGCAATAGTGACACTGGCCTATTGTGTTGAAAAATCCAATTTATTTCTTCCTAAGTGGAAACAATTTCACTAAACCTGATTCTTTCTTGACAAATAAACAAGAGGGAAAACATTTGAAAACTCAATAGAAAATAATTGCTCCTTAAGATGGCATGTTACAACAATAAAATGTCGATATTCATGAGGTGCTTTGTGAATCATACCTTTGTTTGTAAAGATAGAAGCCAAAGCCGGTGAAGATCAGAGCGAAAAAAGGCACCAGGATAGCGATAGCCACAGAACTACTGTTGGTACCGAGTTGAGGCGGTGGAGAATTATGACTCTCAGACATATTTAGACCTGTCATAGACCAAAAAACACGTAAACATCTTTTCTACCATTATTCAGGTTAAAGCCGCACGGTGTCATTGGTGCTGTTACCTAGTCTTTGGAGTCCGAACTGGCCGTAGTCTTTTCCCTGAATGAAGCCTTGGAAAACGTAACTGGTACCATCAGGCTCAGCAGAAACCTGTGTATTCAATGATGAAATGAGAAATTGAAAAAAAGCCATGTGTTTACAGGTTGGACTGGAGAGGACTGAGAAGGAGACTTACGAATCCGTCCATGGTCCAGGAATCTTCGATAATTTTCGCCGGGGAGATGGCAGAGTTCTTGGACTGGGTTCCTTGGTTGGGATAGTTCACTTGGTACATCAGGAGCAGCAGCCTGGCCTCTGATGCTTTGTATACTCCTAAAATCATGTAGTTATAATCAGTAAAAACCCACAGAATAATGTGTAATAAAATACAACCAAATCAGGGATACCTACTTTTTTCTCATTTATTTATACATTTTGTCTGTCCAAAAAGTTTTATAAATGTGAAATGATTATGAACAAATCAGACCACATGTACTGCCTTCATCTTATTAGAAATCTCATAATCTTTTATCTTTTAAATATTTAATACGAAAGAGCCCTAAAGACATGACAGAGGCCAAAAATGAATGCAAGTGAAAAATACTGTATATTGATAGAGAATTTTGGTATGGTATTATTGTTATACTATATCTATGTTGGATAAATAAAGTAGGTACAAATGTAGGATAAATGTGTCCATGTAGCCTGTGCACTTGGTAAACTATACAGTACATATAAATGAGCCATTGCGACCTCAAAGTCCGTCTGCCTTACCGTCTCTAAACGAGGATCGAAAAAAGTTAGCTGTAATTTGCAGTTCATGGTAAAGCTGCCGAGACCCGCTCAGCTTCAGAATCACTGCTGCTGAGAACATCCTTACACAATTTTAAATGAACAACTTTAAGTAACCCTTTTCTGACCTAACTTTTGCAGGTTGACTTGTCTCTGGAGTATTCCCGTGTTCGCTTTTCTGTCTGGCAGACGGAAAAAGCTCTAAGGGAAAATACTACTTCTCACGCAAACATAGATAACATATTCTTGCCTTCAGAGAGGAAATCAGTTCCTCCAAAAGCGTCACGTTTTGCTGGAGCAGACTGACATTTTAATCTTAAGTGAAAAAAGCTCTGGTTTTATGAAGCTGGCCTTTCGATGTCGGCGCAAGTGTGGCTTTAGTAGTTATTGATCTAAAGCTGCTCTTTTAAGCCACGAGACACATGTTAACAGTGGGGCTAGTAGCTGCATAGGTTGTGATATGGTGCCTGTGCTCTCTGCTCCCAACTCCACAAACCAATTCTGTCTAGAGCAGGATTTGTGTTTTAATAGGGTCTTAACCCCCTGCCGTGTGCAACCCTGGGAGGCCCGAGTGCGTATAGGAGCCTGTTTGTGTATCGAGTGCAGGATGAAATAACAACAGCTGCAGGAGAGTGGAGATAAGCACATATAATTAAAACTGAGAGACGTGCATGTTTGGGCAAAAGACAGGTTTTAAGAAAGAGAAAGGAAAGGGCAGAGAGGAGTGGAGACCTCTGCTAAGGCACAAGCTATACTGTATATGGCATTGCTAAATATACAAAATACAACTTGTAAGCTGGTTCAGGCATATTCAGTATAATTATCAAAGTTTATGTAGCCCAATAGGAACGACCATCCTCAAAACTGAATTTATTTCTGTATGTGAGTGGGATGGCACAGAAAACCTTAAATATACAAAATGCATCAACGTAATTTTCTCAATGAGCTCCTGAATCCATGTCTGTTATTATTATTTATGTCTGTTATTGATTTTAGCAGTCCTCTATAGCTCATAAAGTGTCAGGGCTCCACCTTTTGTCGGTTTCACATAAGGAGCTCAGGGTCGCAGAGAACATTCATATTTTTAAAGCCAGGCTCAAGACACACCTTTTTAGATTAGCTTTTTAGTTTAGCATTTGATTAGTATTTATTAGTCCATTTTTATATATTCTATTTATCTTTTATTATTTATTATATTGCTATTGCTTTTATTCATGTTTTGTGTGATAGTTCCTTTCAGCCTCACATTTTAGTGTTTTACTTATTGTATTGTTTTTAGTATCCCCAGTGTTTCCTCTGGAGGAGCCCTCTGCGCTGGGAGCGGTGGTTGGCTGTGGCTGTGGGGGTCGGACTCTTGGACCTGGTGGGGGCCCGGGGCCTCGGTTTTGGGTCTCCTCTGGGTCCTGTGTCGTCCCCTTTGGCTATGGGCGGCTCTCTGCTCCTGGCGCTGACGGCACCTTGGATGGCGTTTCTTCAGCCGGTTGCATCTGGACCCTGCCAAGTCTCTTATCATCGTTTTATTGTTTTATCGGTGCGTGTGTGTGTGTGCGTGTGTGTGGGGGGGGATTGTTTTTAGCCAAACTGTAAAGCACTTTGTGTTGCATTTGTTGTATGAAAAGCGCTTTATAAATAAACTTTGATTGATTGATTGATTGACATAAACATTTTTCTGGCCCCTAAAACATGAAAACACCCACTGATACTTTAACATTGTATCCTTGTGGCTTTCATGTGTTTTTGAACCACCAAAACAATGCAATGATGATATGCAATACTAATACAAATCACACTAACACTGCCTACATACTCAAGTTTGTGGTCTCATACCAGACTTCTGTAAAAATCAACCTTGATGAGCCTTTCCTATTTAATCATGGCCACTTATCACTATTTTAAGATTACTTTGACGTAAAGCGATCAACACAATTGCTAGTTATCACATACCTGACAGCAGGAGTTCCATGTTGCCATTGCTAAGGGTTACGTTGACTCGACCCGTGCTGGAGTTAAAGCTGGTGATGCTCAGAGTCATAGGCTGCTTCCTCCCACGGTAATTATAGGAGCCCTTCCAGATGTAGTTGGGAGCGAAAACATCGTCGGGAACTGCAGCAGGTGAAGAGGAGAACAGAGGCTTCAGAAGACAAGACTTTATAACAGGAAGTGCATTTTCTACATGTTCAAGTTAGTCATGAGGATTGCCACCAGATTTTCATACCCGAAGCATCACAGTTATATTTGAAAACAGTTTCAAATATGACAGGGCAGGGCATATTCCTTATCAAAAGTGATAACTTTATATGTAGATGTATGTTTGACTGCTCAATCAGCTTACTTTCATTTTTGAAATATATACAACTCTATGGGAAAGCAATTTTAGAGTCACAAACACACCAAGGTATTGTTTTGCATTTAATTGAGGTCTCCAGTACAGGAGGCACCTGCCAGACTTATTAGCACTCTCAGACTTATTGAACAAGTTTGCTAGAGCAGACACAGGGTGAACATACAAACTCCACCCAGAAAGGCCCTGTTCTGACCGGGATTCGAACCCAGGACCTTCTTGCTGAGAAGCGAGAGTGCTATCCACTCAGCCACCATGCTTAAATATTGTCACAACTTCGAGACAGCTTCATGATGAAATAATTACACCATAGTTGACAAAACAACATGTACAAAATATGTAAAACTTTGTGACCATTTAAATGAGCTCTAAACTAAGACTAGAGAGCTAATTGTTTGGCATTTACCATGTTCATTTCAAATGTAGATTTTAAAGCTTTTAAGTTCAAGTTTGAGGACTATTTCAAGTTCCTTTGTGGAAGTAAAATAGAACTCATCTTCATAAAGTTGCATATGTGAATAAACAAATAATCTTACATCTGCAGCAGTACTTTTGAGCCAAAAACACAACAAAGCATTGTGTGAAGTTCTTTGTCCATAATCTGTACTTTTGTGGGTAAAGAGAAAATGCATTATTCAATGAGGAATGTGGTTCAGGTCAATAATTTGGTGGTGCTGCAAGCTGATTCAAAAGTTTGGACTGAGAAACTATTTTTTAAATGCACAAGAAATAGATAAAAACAAGCCAACAGAAGGCAAACCGATAAATCTATGGACGGAGTTAAAATGGACTTTAACAGAACTGACCGTTCAGTTTTGGGCTGGGGGTCCCTGTGGCTGGCTTCACTGCCTTTTTCTTCTCTCCAGCTGCAAACACAAAAGCAATTTGAACAAGTTAGTTGATACGCAGCTTAAAGTTACACCAAGGCCATTGCATTTTGTTTTTGACTAGATTACCAGTCTACCGTGTGTTAGAAGATCCCAGTCAAAGTCAAGACCTATCAAACCTTTATCTAAAAGATCTAAAAACGGCTGGTCTCAAATGTGCTCCATCTAATGCAATGGAGCTTGAGCTGTTATGTTAGAAGCAAATGTGATGTGGATGGGCAAAGCTTATAAAGACTTGAATTCAAAATCCCAACATTACAGTTTTTAAAATATGATTATTAATATTTGTTTTAAATATATAAAAACCTTATGTTTGTGGCCATGGAATGACAGCATGTGGGCACGTTCATCAGATATGAACACTTTTTCAAACCACTAACTGGCACATAAACTACTTTTAAAAGTGATCTTTGCACTGTTTAGTCTTTCAGAGCAGCATCTGCCAGTGCTTGAAGATGCAGCCATTGTTGCCAATAAGTAAAGGCAAGCAAGAAAGAGAGCATTTGTCCTAGAATCTCAAATTGGATCAGGGAGTGCTTGGATTTTAAAAGCCACTAACAGGGCACAAGGGCACGAGCCTTGAGGAAAATATCAGACCTATGCACTTTTTCTTATGACTAAGGTATTTTTATGTTTTACTTTTTAATTAAATAGATAAAAGTCTTGTCAAAGTTTGACCTCCTTCACATTTATACCCTACGGAACATTTGAGAAAACATCCCGGTAATGTGTGGTTTCTTCTTTGCATTTATCTCACTCTAAATCTTTTTCCTTCCCACACTTTTGGCTGAAAACGCGCGGCAAAGATGTGTGAAACTAGTTTAGTGTTAGCGTGAGACTTTGAGATTTTTCAGTGTCATTGGAGGAGACTGATTGGGCTGGAGCCTGCACAGAAGGAGCTCTAAATCATAACGCTCTTGTGCACCTGCTCCTCCTCCACTGAAATGTCAAAATTTCTCCAATCTCCTTTGAAGATCAAATATAATTCCTCTGAAACAGTTAAACGTCAAGTCAACACAGACTCACGCAAAACCAAAGTCCAACTGGGAGGATTTGTGGTAAATTGTGACCATTTAATAGATTTCAGTATTCTGTGCTCTGTTGAAAAAAAAAAAAAAAACACTATTTAACTACTTTAACTTGTTTTAACCATGGAAAAAAATCATTCCCAAAATTATAATCCTTTTGTCATGTTTTCTTACAGCCAAGTAGCTCACCAGGATGGCTCAGGCCTTTCCAGATGGCCAATATGTCTGTGAGTGTGCTTGCTGACAGTGTGTCCTTGGGCATGAGACTTGTACCTTCTGGAAGTGGCCGTGATAAGATCAGAATTAAATCTGGGTGATGTAGATGAGAGATTTAACCGCTTTACCTCGACATATTGGCATTTTTCCGGTCCACGTCCCATCACTTTTGCACACTCGATGCTCTGATCCACCGGCCAGGAAGTAGCCGAGCTGACAGCTGTAGACCAAGGTGTAGCCAAAGCCGGGCAGATCCATCCCCACCACGTCCACGTGCAGCGGGCTCTCGGGCTGCTTACAGGCATGGGCTGGAGAAGAACAAAACACACTCAAGTCAGAATCTAAAGATGTTACAGAGCATGATTAAAGCCACACGTTTTTCTTGACAAAGTCTATAAATATGGGCCAAAACTCAAACTTTGGAGTGGCTGCTTTCTTTTCAAACTTTGAGTAGCTATATTTATTGCTAAATGTTTAAATTTTACTAATAAACATTTTTAAATATAGAATCCGGGGATAGGGTCATCCTAAAATATAACTAAACAATTTTTCACAATTTCCCTTTCTCAGCTGTGAAACACATCACTGAAAATGAAATTTAGGGACCTGAATAAAACAACAAAGAATAGATTTAAAAATCCCTATAATCTTGTTTGATTATTATCTGTTAGAGTCTGGAGAACTGGTTCAAACTGGTTAATTCCAGATTAGATAACTGGAAATAAGAGAAATACATTTGCTTTACTTTGATCTTCACAGAATACAAATATTGCTCAAATTGAGAAGTCAATAATTCATGAGTTTTAAATGACAAGGATAAGGACGGGTAAAGAGTTGCAACAGTGTTTTTAGGGACGTACGGATGCATTCAGGTTGTGTCCCGCTCCATGTCAGATCAGGATGGCAGGTTCGAGAGGAGGAGCCCTGTATCAAGTGACCCGGCTGACACTGGAAGGACACCACACTCCCCACCTGAAGACACACAAGATAACAACAACGGGTTATAAACAGGCTGAATGCTTTGGATAACTCCAGTAAGGAAAATATGAAAATGAGAAAGTACTTGTCATTTATTTATATGAAGTGGAATAAACTGCTATCAGCCGGAGCCATTTGGAAAGATAACAAGACCATACAATTAATTACAGTTGGTTGCTGCGCAAGCTACATTTTAAAATAAAGTACATTTTGCAAAACAGCTAATAGATGACACAAGGTATTTTACTGTTGACTCATGATGATCAAAGCACCCTGGTACAGTAAATCCAGTCTATTTTGACGATAAACGTCCCAAGTGAAAACAATACGTTTTATGCTCTGACAATAGCCCTAAACAACAACAAAAAAATCCTCCACTTCCTTGTGTCAGCTCTCTGCTGTTCTCATAAACACACGAGAATCAAGAATGAGATCTGCAGCTGGTAGAGCTGTGTTCAAATAAAAATACTTACATTGGGCTCACCGCTGTACAGGCCACAGAGTTCACAGCGGTTGAAAGAATTAGCAGCTTATAGTCATGCAAGTACTGAACTTTTAAGTTCAGATCATTACATCTCTTATTAATGCAGAGGAAGTTTCTCATTTGTTCTAAATGTGACATGTCCCTAGTCTCTCAATCATACACACTGTGTTCCCTGTAGATACCTAAAACAAATAATGAAGATGTTTAGCCATACCATGACTTTTCCTCAAGTACAAGAAGGAAAGGCTTATAGTAGTAATGTATGCAGAGACCTCTTGACAGACACAGTGCTGCTGCTGGCAGGTTAATAATTTTTTTCTTTAAAAGTGTCAAAAACTAGCACCGTAATGAGCCACCCGGTGACACTTCTTTAGTCTGAAAATACTGTATTTCAACATCTTTTCAGTGAAGTCAGTATTCAAGTGTCATTTACAGTTTTTCAGCTCACCTTACATAAACCTAGCTCACCTCCAGCTAACTTGGCACCCATGGCAATTTTTCATTTTTATATGTTGCTTGCATTGTGTTTGAGGGCTGCACATAGAAACAGAAAGCATGCTAAAAATCACATGCAGGGATTACATTGAACTGGCTGGCCCAGCATCTGAAAGCTGCGAGTAGTGTAATAGTAACATTTTTGTAAACAATTCAGACCACCACATGCTGTCTTCATCTTATTAAAAAACAAGTTCGCATACTTGTAAGGAAGAGCCCGGTGAGTCACTATTTGACGCTTTGGGCTGATTGGCTGAGTGAGGTCTCTCTTTTTTACTTTTCTGTCTGACAAAGCTGAACTTTTCATAGAACCAAAGTGTTCTATTTTGTGAAAGTTAGGAACCCCAGCCCTATTCCTTGCACTGTTGCTCTACATTTGATTTTTACCTTGAATCCAAATGTCCGATTTAACGACCCATAGCGTGGAGTCCCAGGATTATCACAGCTCGTCTTTGTCGGCTCTAAAACACACACACACACACACACACACACACAAAAGGCAACAACAACAAAAGTTGAACAATTAAAGTCTTACTCCTGCCTCCCATCCTTCCTGTGCGTCGTCATGGTAACAGCAGATCTCAAAGGGGCAAGCTCACCAGCAGGGGGCAGTAGCGCTTCACAGTAAAACGAAGCCAGAGGAGCTTTTTTTCTCCTCCTGTTTTGTGTGTGTCATCAGCATGTAGAGCACATCCTGACGCAGAGCTAGATTCAATACAGCTCTGCCCCTTATTCCCTTTTTTACCTCCTTCCCTAACCCCGATTCTTTTGCATCTTTAACTGTATCTCTCGCTCTCTCTATCCATCTTTTTTTTCCAATCTGCAAATCCGGCTTCTTTTAGAGTGCACCCTACTCTGGCTCAAAAGTCATTGTGTACGTCGCGAGGCGCAAACAGCTGCAATCACGAAATAATAAATCACTCTCACATAGGACCAGGCAATTCCCAAAACGAGCAATAACACTGAGCTGCACTGTTGTAGTCGACCAAGACCTACTTCAAAAATATGTCTATTTTTAGTTTAGTTCTTTAAGGTAGCTACAAAAGAGGAGGCTTGCATCTACATTTAATCCGCTATAGAGGGATACGAGTCAAAGAGGCAGGATCTGATGTATTGCCATTCAGTGTGAGTCTTGATGTCTAAGCACCTGCTCTGCATCAGACATGTAAAGTGGTGCTCCACACATCACATGCTGCTGCTGGACAGACCTGCTGGGAGCATTCACCATGTGGGCTGAATATCTCCTTTCATTTGTTCCTTTAATCTGTATATAGACGGCTATGGATAGGCCCAGACATAATCTATACTGTATATGGCCAAAGGTGAACTCGTGAGTCTAATGAGCAGCGTTCTGTAAATCCATGAAATATGAGTTACCACGCAGACGCACCGGCATTTAAACGCCAGGGGGGATCCATGTTTACATACATTGACAAACGTATTCTTTATTTTTTTTCCAATTGAAAGCATCTAAAGGTGATGCCAGCCGCCTAAACTGTTTTTAATGATTAAAGAATATATTTTTTCTAACCTTTGGACACTGTACTTTCATGCACAGTAATATATTTGTAACCCTCCTCTGAGTAAGATTTGCTGGAGGAGAATTGTTAAACCAATGACAAGGGCCTCAAGGATTTGAATTCATTTTGACCAATGAAAAGGCTGCGGGGGTGAGCATGGACAGGTCTAACCAGAGCTCGTCTTCACTCTCTCTTCTTTATTTGAAAATGAGCTGACATTAACTTTGAGAATCACAATTTTTTTTTTGGGATGAATCGTTATTGCTTAGCTAGAATGTTCCACAGTGAGGCTATAAACAGATATTTTATTTCCCTCTCGCAGCTAGACTCCATTTAACTTGGCTTGGTGGCATCTCACTCTACGGCTGCAGATTGGAGGTAAAGAGAACTTACTCCTGACCGAAAGTGAAATACTAATGGCTCCTATGGGTGTTTTTTATATTGCAGTTTATGTGTTGTCTATCTGTTTGATTCACTGATTTGTTGTTGGTGAATTGACAATTTTGTTAAAGGGGCATTATGCAACTTTTTTATCTGAGTTTCCATGTATTGTGTATCTGACTTTCTAGTGACCCAGAGGCATCATGGTGCCTTTACTTTTGATTACGGTGGTGTCTACAACAGCTCTTGGATCAACTGTGAAAACCTCGGAGGCAACTGTTGTTACGAATTATGGCTATATGACAATATTTCATGGAAAAGTTAAATAGTAAACTTTTGAATTGTACTTTTTGAGAATGTTGGCTACTACTAGACTGTAGTCAATTTGTCCAATAGAATTCCACTGAGGTAAAACAATCATCAAACCAATAATGATTTTTTGGTGAAGACAGAAAATTAAAACTATCAAGGGATGAATTAATCTAAGTAAAACACTGTAGAGTCTGAATATCAACAAAAACAACATAATAAAGGTGTTAAGCCTTTTAAAAGACCACCGATTCCTTTAGCGAGAGATTGATTAATTGCGATACTTCAAACACACTGAAAATCTTATTTTAGTAAATCCCAGTCACATTGATGAACACTTAAAGCAGCTTTTTAATGAGAAAAACAAAAGCTGAAGAGAAAAGATGGTGCATCAAAGGCCGTACATCTTGAAATAATAATTATGTAGTCCATCCATCCATCCATCCATTTTCTTCCCCCTAATCCATTTCTGGGTTGGGGGGGGGACGTCAGAGCTGCACCCAGTACACAGAGCACCAGCCCCTCACTGATCCTCCTGCAGGTGGTGAGTCCACAGGAGCTGAGATCTTTCAGTTGGGGCTTTGGGCAAAGTGGGGTTAAGTGTCTTGCCCAAGGACACAACGACAGCAGTCATCAGTGGGAGTCGTGAAGTAGGTCTTACGGTGGGCTCGAACCCACGACCTTCAGGCCCAAAGGCCAATGCTCTACCAACTGAGCTACTGTAATTATGTAGTATTACAGCTAATTGTCATAAGCAGTTGCTAGCAGCTTTGTAGCATAAATGCACTTATGAATTAATTGAATATATTGTAGGAGCGGTTGTACATAAAGGAGGTGAACTGTTTCGTGTCACAGGACTGAGAGAAAAGGCCATCACTGATCCACTGTTTGAAGAGTGAGACCTGCCTGAGGAAACAACGCCCGCTCAAGTGGGGATTCGTGATTGATGGAGATCATCAGGGACTATTAAAAAGTCATCAGTAAAATCTTAAATCCATTTTTGGTGAAGGTTAAAAGCCTGAGTACATACTAAACAACTTAGAGAGTTCATTGACAAGCAAGTTACTGCAAGCTGCACAATACAGTAAATCACACTACTAAAAGCGGTGGGCATTTTTCAACAGACAAAATAAAATATTGATAAAAGTAGCAGCAATAGGTAAGGTTCCTGCATATTCAAAAGTTATCTGAAAGGTGGAAGTTGAAAAATATCCACAACCTCGAACTAAAGTGGATTCAACGTTATGACTAATGCTGTCCTTGCCTCCTCTAAATAAAATAAATAAGAATTTGCACTTACCAATGCAGCGAGGTTGAGTCCCGCTCCAAGTCCCATCGCTTTCACATAGTCTGGTCTCCGTGCCGACGAGAATAAGGGGAGGGGCACATGTGAAGGACACTTCTGACTGATAGATGAAACTCCGCCCCTCCCTGAATCCTCCGACGAGGGTCCCGGGGTCGCCACAGAACTTTGCTGCAAACAGACATTCTCACTTGAGTCTGAAATGCTAACAGAGAGAGGGGCTAGCGGTCAAGGGCAGCACAGATTGAGTTTGCCTCGGGGGTTTTGAGAGCTGTCAGAAGACTAATGGGACTGTATGTATGTTGGAAGTGAGTCCGAGACTTTATACTTTCAGATTTTGAATAAAGACACATGGAAGAGATTTGTGCCAAAGTATGCCCTGATGTAATTGGCCGAGCATTCCTTCGATTCAACATTCTCAATTTTGCCACTTACAGCAGAGGTACCCAACTTTTGCTTCATAAATAATACATGTTGTTTGTCCTAATGGAAAGAGTCTTGTAAAAAAATACTTTTGGTGAACAAATCAGATCTCATAATGTTGTTATCTTTTTAGAAAACATATTATCTTCTGTATGTCTGTAAAAATACAGTCCTGTGAGTCACTATTGTACAATTTGGGATGAGAGCTGATTGGCTGAGCAAGAGTAGTCCTCTCTTTTTAACATTTTGGCTGAAAAAGCTGATCAATATGTGACAGAGGCCAACAAATAAAGGCAATTTGGAGAGTGAGGACCGAGATGGATTACATAGCTAATGTTTTTTGTAGTTTGAAAGTTACATACAACAGCTTTAAATTATTAAGAACTAATTCTACTGCCATAACCAATATATCACAGCAGTATTCTCATTACTTCAGTATATCCACCTTAATTACAAATGATTTACAAATGTATAAATAATTATTTCTTAATGATTCTTAATCAATTTATATGCTAAATATTCTTCTGTTGACACCAAAGGAAAAACAACATATATTACAACCTCTACAAATCACAGCAAATTGTGCAAAACCCCCCTCTCTGGAACAGTGGCAGTATATTCCCAGCTGGCGGACTAATAGCACCATGTTGTGTGTGTGTTCTATAAGTCAGAGGTTTGTCGGGCTTACGTAAACACTGTGGTTGCATGCCGCTCCAGGATCCATTGGCCACGCAGGTCAGGACCGCGGGGAACGAGAGCTCGTATCCCGGCAAGCAGCTGTAACTCACACTGCTGCCCCACTCAAAGTCACTGCCCTGGAGGACGCCATTACTGATTGCAGGAGGGGAGGGACAGGTCACCGCTGCACCAGGGAAGAAAGACACACGGTCAGACACACAGCAGCGCAAACTTAGGTAGATGTTTTTTTATACAACAGGAAAGTGGAAGTGGTTTTGGAGATTTTAAAAGTTATTACCGTTTACTTTCTTTTCCCCTTTAGGCGCCAAAGTAGCCGAGTTGCAACATGACAGCTTTCTATTCAGCGATTTGACGTTTACCCACATTCTTCTAACATCTTTTATTTATTGATTGACTGCGGAACCTTCCGCAGTCAACCATTGGTTTTGTATTTCTTTATTCCGTCATTTTTTTTGACACGTTTCACAGCTTTCACATTTTCAACAATTTCCACAAGTTATACATCAAAACGTTCCACATGTTTGGGAGATTATTGCTATTACTTTTGGGACTTCAGCGATTTCCGGTTTTTCCGCAATCGGACAAAAATCTGCATTGAGAATTCTGCAATGCATTTTAATAGGCCCATGCATTTTAATAGGACTTCAGCTCTTTCAGACATTTCTACAGTTTCAATGATTCAACAGTTTCAAGGATTCAACAGTTTCAAGGATTTCAGCAGTTTCAAGATTTCAAGAGTTTCAAGGACTTCAACAGTTTCAAGGACTTCAGCAGTTTCAAGGACTTCAGCAGTTTCAAGGACTTCAGCAGTTTCAAGGACTTCAGTGTAATCATGCAACCTAATAGGGATTTTTCCATGTAAACCAGTATAATGCAACTTAATAGGGATTTTTCCATGTAAACCAGTATAATGCAACTTAATAGGGTTTTTTCATGTAAACCAGTATAATGCAACTTAATAGGGTTTTTTTTCATGTAAACCAGTATAATGCAACTTAATGGGGATTTTTCCATGTAAACCAGTATAATGCAACTTAATAGGGGTTTTTACATGTAAACCAGTATAATGCAACTTAATAGGGTTTTTTCCATGTAAACCAGTATAATGCAACTTAATAGGGTTTTTTCCATGTAAACCAGTACAATGCAACTTAATAGGGATTTTTCCATGTAAACCAGTATAATGCAACTTAATGGGGATTTTTCCATGTAAACCAGTATAATGCAACTTAATGGGGATTTTTCCATGTAAACCAGTATTATGCAACTTAATAGGGATTTTTCCATGTAAACCAGTATAATGCAACTTAATAGGGATTTTTCCATGTAAACCAGTATAATGCAACTTAATGGGGATTTTTCCATGTAAACCAGTATTATGCAACTTAATAGGGATTTTTCCATGTAAACCAGTATAATGCAACTTAATAGGGTTTTTTTCATGTAAACCAGTATAATGCAACTTAATAGGGTTTTTTCATGTATAATGCAACCTAATAGGTTGCATTATACCACCAGACCAAGACCCAAACGAAGACTCAGACCACCACCAGATAATGACCACAGACCAGGTTTCCTTAGTTACAGGAACCAAATTGTTTCAGCGGTGAGGGGATTTTTCAGTTTCAAGGACACTTTCAATACATTCAGTAGTTTCAAGGATTTCAGCTGTTTAAGAATTTAACCAGTTTCAAGGATATCAGGAGGTTCAAGGATTTCAGGAGTTTCCACACTTTCAACAGTTTCCAGGTTTAAAAAAGTTTCAAGGATTTCAGGAGTTTCAATGTTTCAACAGTTTCAAGGATTTCAGGAGTTTAAAGGTTTCAACAATTTCAAGGACTTCAGGAGTTTCAAATATCTATCAAGTATTTTAACAGTTTCAAGGCTTTTTAAAGGATTTCAAGGATTTTTTTTAGCAGATTTCCACATTAGATCTGTTCCGCAGTCAATCGCAATGGCTTCAGCCATTGCAAGTTTCTAGTTTCTGTTGTTGATTTTAGACATCCTGAATCTCTTCTAACATTTCAAGGCTCCAACCATTTTCTGTTGCACACATTTACCGTATATTAGGAGTGGACGGACTGAGTGCAGACATCACCCATAGTGTATGTCAAATGCAGCAGAGTCCGATTTCATCATAAGCTAGCTGGAGCCAGTTTCCTTACATAGGAGTTTGTTTCAATGGCGTTAGCGTGATGCCAAGATTGCTAAATGAAGCCATCTAATTGGTCAATCTTTATACTGCTCATATCTGGATTTACAAAGACAATATTCAAAAATATAAACACCAGGATCACAGAAGGCGCAAAACCACATATTTTGTAAGTTTTTAAGCACTTTACTGTTGGGATTCATTGGGTTAAAGAGTCTATATACATTCCGTGGTTTCACATCAAGCCTCTGAAAACGCTATGGTGCCTATAGGGTTAATCAGGATACATATGAGATACGAGATGATATTTATGAATCTTGGACCCAGTGGCAATCTGCCAAAATGAAAAAGATTCCATTGGGATTCAGTTTTGTGCTGTTCTATGCTTTAAATACAGATGCATGCAATCTATCCTCCCACTTACTAAATTGGTTTGCTTTCAGTACGAGAGTCGTTCTTTTAATTAGTTCCTACCTGAGCACAGGGGCATGTTCCCGCTCCACGTCCCGTTCTGAGTACAAGCCCTCACAGGTGACCCGTCCTCCTCCATCCTGTACCCAGGCTGGCACTGGAAGGTGATGTTCTGACCGATGGTGAAGTCTTCTCCATAACGAAGGCCATTGGCAGGAACACCAGGATCACCGCAGTTAATCACTACAAACAATACATGTTTAAGGTTGTGCCTATTTACTTCATCTTTTTATGTCCTTAATAATGTCATTACAAACAGATTGTTATTCATCATTATATTGAAAAAAAACATGCAAACTATAGCAGAGTTACTTGAGAGAGCTAAGGATCAGATTTAAATTTGACTTCCACTCAGGCATCGTTCCCACAAACCCATATTCTGTCCAATGTGATGTTTGAATTACTGATTACTTTTACCAGCTTAATTATTTGCATGCAGTGGAATTACGCTTTGTTTTTTGAAGCGCTGCCCACTGAAGTAATGCTGGATTTAAGGCACTGAATTGAAGTCTATGGTGTTTTTAATTATGGATTACTGGAAAGCAGTCCCATTCAGTTAATAACAGCACTTGGATTGTCCCATACACAAATGCATTTGAGAAACGGCCTTGGTTTTTACTTTAAGATTGTGTCCCGTATACATTTTCCAATCACTTATTTCTTTTCACACAGCTCCTCCTCCTGCCGCTGTGTGATGTCATCTCAGGATTGTGCTATTGGCACGATGTACGACTGTGCGGGGACTTTGATTTGAAACATTTCAATCAAACTACTCATTGAAAGTTAAGTGTATAGAACGAATACAATTAAATTACACTTTTTATGAATCCTGTAATTAGCCAAAGTGGAAAAGGATGTTATCACTGATCACTTAGCTGGCTTCAGTCAAGAATGAGAAAGAAAAAAAAGAGCCAAGGAGGCCATTGTCCGGGGACTTTTAGGGAACATTAGAATTCCCTGGACCGCACTTACACAGCACTGTCCTTCATACTCTAATAGGCAGTTTAAATGTGCTCTTAAAGCCACCCCAGATACTGTCATGGTGCATTAAGATGTACCACAATCTATGGGAAAGGTTTCCTATGACTGCATCCTATGACTGAGAGGAAACAGCTATTAACAAGATTGCATTTTAGGATTCTTGATGTGTGCTTGCTTGTTTCTAATTTCTTTATGATCTACATAAAGAAACCGCAGCACGGTGGCAGAGTGGATAGCACTCTCGCCTCTCAGCAAGAAGGTCCTGGGTTCGAATCCCAGTCGGACCAGGGCCTTTCTGAGTGGAGTTTGCATGTTCTCCCCGTGTCTGCGTAGGTTTCCTCCGGGTACTCCGGTTTCCCCTACCACTAAAAATATGTCCAATAGTTCTAGCATGCGCCTCCTGTACTGGCCCCTCCCATCTCTGTGTGGAGTGAGAGACAAATGCCCAAAATTAACAATTGTAAACCGCTTTGAGACTCAGATCTGCAGTGAAAAGGCGGTATATAAATAAAGATTACTTACTACTACTACTACTACTACACAAAAAAGTATGAAAGTATTACATAACAAAAGCAATCCTCAGAATGTTTAGTATTTTTTTCACCCACTCTCTTTCAATGTATCTCTCCCCACTCTGTTTTTGTACGTGTCAAACAAGCAAGGTTCTAAAATCTGCTGTATGTGTGATCAATAGTAAATATTGTGATCAATGTGTGATGGATAGGCGAGTCAGTGGATGCATTTCTATTACTAATGCAGGTTAAAATGTTACATTGAATATTATAGGTAGTGTATATATATCAGAAAAGAATGCCTAACAACTTTTTAAAACGACTTCTTGTAAATTACAGGGTGGAATTGCTATAAGAAGACATGCGCTCAAGGAAAAATCTACATACATTTTGAGATCTGTTAGGCCTGCGGTAACGTTTGTACAACTCATAGTGACATTTCATTTGGGACCAGTTTTATTTTATGGGTATTTACTCGAAGGGATTCTGCTACCGAGTTCAGAAACCAAATTAGCTAAAGTAAACAACGATCAAGGTTATTCATGTCACTCTATAAAGTCAGTGGCGGAGCATGAAGATTTGAGGCTGATTCCATTACTTAGAGCCTATACTGTTGTGAATAATTTAAGCGCAGGACATAAAGTAAGGTCGCAAAAGGCTGGAAGGAAACCTAATCACACATCAGGACTTCTGCACTGTTTATGGGCTGCAGACTTGACATCACGGAAGGATTTAGGACGACTACTATATAATCAATAGTACACAGAGTAGAAAGAGGGCCTTTCGGAGTGGCTTTCAAGTTTCAGCTTGAAAAGACAATTAATTTAAATTTGAGGTAAGCTACACATTTACACAGACACCACATACTTACCAGTCCAATTCTCATTGACAATACTGACAAGTGTTAGTGAGTTGAAAGTGTTATATTTAGTACCGGGTTAAGGTAAAGGAATGCTTTATCGTCCCAGTCAGTAAATTTGTCCACTGCAATTGACCCATCCTTCAGAGCAGACGTGGGGAGAAACATGCCAACTCCACACAGAAAGGCTCAGGCCGACAAAGGAGTAGAACTTGAAATATTGTTTGCGCATAGAAAGATTCTGAAAACTCAACAGCTTTGCGAGGGCCAGAAAGAAGAAACACCAACATCTACTGATGGCGTTGGGACACAGCCTTCGATGTCGGCCATTTACAAGGCTGAGCTGTGCTTACATTGACATTAACATGTTAGCATTGCTTGTACTTTTTCTAGTCATTGTTTGGTTTGGTATAATATACTACACTGTATATTGTATTCAATCATTTCTCAGCTCTGAGAGTTCAAAGCTATGCCACATGGCCAATCTTTTATGTTCAAACCTACATCCCAAAGTTGAAATGCTTTCAATAAAACAAGTATTGACTGAAGGTTGAAGTCCAAATGCCATATTGAAACTGAAAAATATGCTTACTGGTGCAGTTCGGCTGCAGTCCTGACCATGTCCCATTGGCCTGGCACAGCCTTGTGGTGGCGCCGGTGAGTAAATAGCCATCCATACAAGAGTAGATGACAGAATGTGAAAATGTTGTCCCATCCAAGCGATAGACTCGGCCATTACTGGGAGTGCCAGGGTTACCGCACTGGACAGCTGGAGAGAGGGAGACTGTGTTATGCATCTCAATGAGTCAATTCTCCTCATTGCACTTAGTTTAAAGCAGCCTCTATCGCTCTACACAACTAGGCCACAGTGAAGACTGTAGGTTAAGGTTGATTATGTCTAAACAAGTGTGTTGGCATACGTTTACAGAAGGGCTGAGTTCCCGACCATGTGCCGTTGGGAAAGCACATCCTCTCTGCTGACCCGATCAGCTCATAGCCTTCGCCACAGCTGAAGAAAACCTTGGAGCGGATCCGGAAGTCTGTTTGTTCCCGGGAGCCGTGAGAGGGGATGCCGGGATCACCACAAGAGCCAGCTGTGTCGCCTATAGAGACAGACAAACAGGAAGACATTAAGTCCCTCAGATCTGCCACTTTTTCAGACTTTTTCAGAATGTCGGAAAAAAAACAGTATGCCAGAAATAAGTCATGTTTAGGACTGAGATAAAAACTGCAACACACTATTACTTTGCTGATATAACCATTATAACTTATTTACTGCAAATGAAGTCCTAAATTATATGCATAGTTTCATACAAATATATACAGACGCACATTAAAAAGTTTTAATGCTTAAGCACAATTGTTATTTTCCTCAGCATCTTTAACTGTCATCAACCCTAAATAAAATATACTTGAAATACTATCCCTTTTTAAAAGAGCAGACAGTCTGTATAAAATAATAGGTTTGCCGTAGACTGAGGAAGAAGGAATTTGCAAGAGGCTGTTTTAAATTATAGTGGGCCCTTTTCTTCTCTTTAAATTCTAAAGTTTCTACTTTCTTGTTAGGAAAAATGTTCCCAACTTTTGCCCATTAAACTGATTTTGTCATTATTATTTCATTGCTAATTCTTTTATTTCTTTTAGACATCTTTAAAAAAGTCAAGAACCAAGATAATGTGTTCATTTTGGCCCTTAAATGTGATCTCGAGGATCTTTACTTTGGCATTTCAGGTTTTGGTCAGCAGGGCGCATTTACTTTCAATCACAGTGGATTGTATGGAAGGTTTCATTTTCTGATGGACACCAGAAAACCAACACAAGAATTGATCTTGAACCTCTATACTACACAACCGTGAACAAAAGTTAAGGCTTCCCACTCATTGCCACTTTTTTTATACACAAATTTGCATAATGCAGCTCTAAGTAATATCATGTGTAAATGGAAGAGATAATCATGAATGCGCAACACACCCATCTAATGGTAGAGGTGGGAAACGCCTCTAAAATCGGCATGAAGGCCCCAGTTATAAAAAACATAAAAAAATCAAATCAAATGGGAGGCCATGCTTTTGTTTAAGAGGAACAGATAGGCCCACAAATGTCAAAGTCTGTTTTTTTTGCCACAGAACAGAGTTTGAATATATCCACTTATCTGTGGATCAAGCTATACACAACCTCAGGTCTGTTTTTGATTAGGATTTATTTTTAATGTGTTTTATTCTTTAGCATACCATCAAATCTGCACTGACACACAAGCAACACATTTAAACACATAAGTCTTAATTAATAATTAATAATATATCCCTATTCATCGTTGAATGCTGTTTTAACAAGACAGAGGTGCTTCTTGGTGGACAATGCTTTGTCCTTGTGCAGGCGCCTGGTCAGCAGATTCCTCCTGACAGACAGAGCACACTACTGGGAGCGCACACTGTCACCCACACACACTACATTTTATTCTCTTCTGCGTAGCCAAAAGGACGACGAAACACAAGCTATTAATACTTGAAATAAGCACACGCATTACAGTAATCATTAGTCATAATATAAATAAAATATGTAGCTGCGACCACATAATGTTTTCCATGATAAACAGCCACAAAGGGAGTTGCCTGAGTGCGTTTTGTGATTTTTTCTACATACTTTCTGACAAATAACCTCACTCCCGACAAACAGGCTCTTGTACTACAGTTAAATATCTAGGGGCTTGTTGTTAAATTGAGCTTACACACACAGCACAGATACAGCGCTTAATGACAACTGTTGTTACGCCTTAGGGTGTAAGAGTCGGTGGATTTCTCCAAAACATTTAAAAAATACTATGTGAGAAATGTCAAAACAGAAAGGCAAAGAACTACAAATCTAAGAACTAAAGATTTATTGTGTAAAACATGCTTTCATGAACCACAATGTGTCTGTGTTGTTAGTCAATCCCAAGAAATGGACCAGAGTAAGTCAAAGGATGTAAATACTTTCCAGTCTGGTCCAAACAGACGGACAAACAGAATGACTGCAGCTAAACATAGATAGAACTGCAGCATGTTACCATCTCAGCAGCTCCTATGGGAACCATGACACATGCTCACCACTCCAAAGTCACCAGGAGGCCTCAGGTGTACAGTATGGTCTCTGTGGGGAACTCATGACATGTTTGTGAGGAAGTGTGTACTGTATGTTTATTTGTGTATGAGCAGAAGTGTTGGGACAAATCTGGTGGTTTTGTTTTAGAATAATAATACTAGATTGGTTTTATAAAAACAGGTTTTAAGAAATGTACTTATTTGAATGGGAGTGTATGTTTTCTCACAGCTACTACTTTGAGTACACCAGAATTAGCATACAGATACAATTGGGCTGTTACGCTTTAAAGCCTCTGCACCCCACTATAGCACCCCTGCAGTCTCCCATCATACTCTCAACGAGGCCCTACCTGCTTAGCTTCTAACCTCTGACGGGCTCAGGCTTTCCCACGCAGATATGTTTTTTATATCTCAGCCACAGCGGCTTGAAAAGCAATATACATTTTAGTATTAGATTGGTGCATTCTGGGTAAAATGTGTCTCTGAGCACATTCCACAAATGAAAATGCTCGGAATGGAACAAAATCCCGCGCCACAAGTGAAATGGAACAATAATCAGTGAAAATATAAAACACACACATGTTCAAACTGTTCTGTGTTGGAGAATTGACAACTTAGTAAAGACCTCCGAGATAACTGCTCTTGTGATTTAGGGCAGATCACAAACACAAACAAAATACTAAATACTGTATGGGGAAATTTACTCCCTAACTATATTTTTCTAGGTTTGTGGAAAGAGCACCTAAAACGAATTTCACAGACTTCCTTTTTTGTCCCTCAAAATAATCTGAGGTCTTTCATTCATTCCTTTATAAGATTCTATGCAGGGGAGTCGTTTAATTTGTGAGTTGAGAAAAACCAGAGCCCAAGCACATTAATAGTCAAAAATCTGTATTCTTTAGAAACACAAAATATGCAATCTATCATTTACTATATACCATAATATTTTTGGCCACAATCGTCATACTGTGTGAAATATCCTCTCCTCCTTAGCTGAAAGTATCCACAAGTCCATTCTTTTATAAAACTATTATTAGCTAATAGCCATGAACGTAATAGTATCTGCAGGCTTCAGCCGAATGGATTGGAGCCCAGAACACCGAGTGCTACTACCGCGCCATATTTACATTGATGATAGTGTTGACTTGGAATAAACATCTGTCTCAAAAGCTGCAGAGCTGTTAGCGCCTCTAATAAGGAGCAAAAACACCTCCACGCCACCTGAGATACAGCTGAAACACTACTCATCTTGGCAACTGGAAACCTGCTATAGAGGGAATATATCGACAGTATATATACAGCATATGGTTCACACATAAGCCATTCTCATACAACTTTTATAACAGTATAAAATGGTTGTCTGCTCTGCGCTTTTGGGAATAAAAGTTCAGAATAGTACTGGTTAGCAAAAGTTTCATCACAACAGATTCAGTTATTTTAGAAGTAGTTTGATAAAAGATGCATTTTGTGGCATAAATGTGGAGATAAAAAATATAAATAATCAAATCGCTGACACCAATTATCAGTGTGTAGGTTTTATATGACAGGATATAGGGCTCGCTATGGGGTGAGGATAACGTCACAATGAAGGACTGAAACATACAAGTTGATGCAACAGCCCGTTATATCTGTGTGGCAAGTTTATTGTGGAAAAGTGAAGAGAAAAGTTACTGTAGTAAAATAAATGTTACTATATGTACAGTATAAATGTGCATTGATAAAGATAAGATGGTAAGAATATTGATAAATGAAGATTTCATTTGTAAGAACATATCTCTATTTTTTTAATTTGTCAAAAAGTTGTTTTCCTATAGCTTTAATCTTCATGTTTTGTTACTGACAGTTCATTTAATAGGATTTGCTGAAGAAGAGGTGAAACTTTATGTGTATGGTACAAACATAAATTTGGATTGGCAAAAAGACTATTCGGAAAAAGGCAAATTGTAAGCTTTTCAAATATGTTTCAAAAGGCACTTAAAATAAAATCTTCATATTAGTAGTAGTATATATGGCCTATGACAACAACGATAATTATTATACATTAGGAATTTCAATGCCCTTTAAAAATTGTGTGATAAATGAAGTAATTATTTAGTAAACTATGCAAAATACCTGCATGATGCACCCGTGTATCACAGGTAAACAAAAAAAAAACATTAAAAAGAAAGAACTGTGAATGAACTGGTGGTGGTGCAAAATGGAGGGAGCTGTAGAAATTGACAAAATGTAAAATAAAAACAAAACAAAAGAAAGATGCAGAGATGACTCTTGAAGAAACATGGAATGGTTAAATGCTTTGTAAATTATTCATTGACAATATTAGAAGCTGCTATTGTGGATCTTGCATATTAGGTCACCTCTAATCCCTGCAGAACAAAGAGGGCGGTTTGAAAAGATGCCATGAAGGCTTGCTGTTTCAGTGTTCCACTTTTGCCATTAGATGAACTGTAATGTCTTCAGGGCTGCGGCACAAATGTGGCAGGTAGAAAGCATGAATCACTGTTTCCCAAACTATTAGCCTCTCTCACCCTCGCTCATCCCCCAGGCATTCACTGTAAATAACAAAATCATTTCTTAGTCTACTCATCTCAAATGTGTTGTCACTTGCTATAAGAGGCAGCTGGGAGCATCGCACTGTGGAGAGCAATTATAGTGCCCCCAGTCGGCCAACTGAGAAACCATATAACTTACATCAGTGTCTCCCAAAGTGGGGTCCGCGGCCCCCTGGTGGGCCGCGAGGGTACTGCAGGGGGGCCGCGGGAGGTCATAAAAAAAAAAAAATATATATATAATTATTTAATGTTAAATGTATAATGTTTTGTTTGTAATATTAAAATATTTGTGTTCATTATTTGACTTTAATAATCCACTGTAATCATTTTTGTATTACAATGTTTGTAGCAGAGGCTATTTCCCCAAAATAAAATAACCAGAAGAGCCTATTCTTAATGTTGTCTTCTTGGTTATTATTTTGGGGGGCCACGCAGACCCGTCAGATTTTTAAGGGGGCCTCGGTGTTACTGAGTTTGGGAATGGCTGACTTACATTATTTGTTTATACTTGATACAAAGTAAGTGTGGTGAACTCAATAAGATGTAAAATATGAGGTGAATAAGACGGTGCGTGCAGAAAGCAATTGACTGAAATACCAAGGAAATACAACGTCTCCTACATCGTAAACAGTAAGAGAGAAGAGCAGAACTCTCTTCTATTGTTGCAGAAGAGAGTTAGAAAACATGTCTATCTCTGGTGAAGAGAATACTAATATTGTTGTTTCTGTTCAGTCAAAACAACAGAGGTCCCAAGATGTATGCCTGTATGCTAATTACAATAAGCGCTTAGCCTTGCATTTGCTGACCTAAGCTAATCTTTGTTTTAACAACAGATTCTCGTACTTAAAAAGAATTTGCATGTTGCCTCATTTAAGGCTATATCCACACGAAGACAAAACGCTTATAATTTCAGAAACTTTTTCTGTAAACACGGAGTTAGCTCAGTAAATGTGTGCGTCCATATGAATGTAGTCAATACGCCTGAAAACGCTGTGAAACTATGCCAGACCTGTTGGTGGCGCTGTGACGCAATGACGGGATCAAGCCCAAACTTCCGTGGGCATGCGCGGAATTTTGTAAACAGACAACATGGCGAGTGGGCGAGCTGGTACTACATTAGTATGGACGGACGATGAGGTTGAACTGTTGCTTCGGGTCACACTGGATTACAAAACCAACAAGCTACATTGTTGTTGTCATTATTTTCTGAGTGCGGCGCATGCGTGCTTTAACAAGAGGCGGGGCGATGACGCAAGCGTCTCAGATACATTGCGGAGAGGCAGTAACCACGGAGCGGCATATACGGAGTTTTGAAATCTTTCCACTCTGGGACCTAGTTTCAAAAATGTTCGTTTACACCCCCCCAAAACGCCGGCCTCGTATGGACGATACACTGGATTGATAAAGTATTTTTGCGTTTAGGCCTGAGCTTGACTTCGTGTGGACAGGGCCTTAGTTGTGCTTCATACAGTACAGTATATGATTATTTCTAAAAGTAGGTATCCATATCCATATCCACATCCACAGCCTGCACCATTTGGCTTAACCATCCATGTATCATTGTAATTGGTGATTTTATAAAAAAATGAATCAATTGGGCCTCAGTGAATCCTGTTATGAGTAACAGAACATAAAATGAATGGTGAGAGCCTGCAGAGTGTTTGAAGCTTTAATTGCATGTTACTGGAATTCAAATCTCATTGATAACCCCACATTACTCTCAGACGTGAAGTGCTTGAAATCAGTAGTGGATCCATCTGATTCATACTGTCAAAAAAAATATGATCCTTGCCATAGCCTTATCTATGAATACTTCTAACGAAAATATTACATTCATTGAATGAGAAAAGGTCACGCTTGAAAGAGGAATCTGAAACTCAAGAATAACCTGTGGAAACGTCAAACTCGCAAACTTGATCAAAGAAAAATATATTGAATTTTCAAGTATAATTACTACACTTCACAACTGCTCAGTGCACGACCAACAGGATTCAAAATTGCCAATGCCTTCACCTTATTTAAAACTCATATCTTTCTGTCTCTGCCTCTGATATGACACATTTAGAGCCTGTATATTCAATAGAGGTTAAAACGGTTACCAGAGCAGAAGGGCATGGGGGCACTCCACATCCCGTTGAGCTGACATGTCCTGGATGATTCCCCTTTCAGCTGTCTCCCGCCCAGACAGGAGTATCGAACCGTTGAACCAAATGTAAACTTATCTCCGCTCAGCACACCGTTAGGGGGAGAGCCTGGATGACCACAGTCCACAACTGCAAAGACAGAGAGGCAGTGAGACGAAGGCCGGAGCAGACAGCTCCACGTCAAGGCCCGTTTCCCAAACAACAGCAGAGTGGGCACTGTCAGGGCTGAGAAATTACAGCAAAGAAGGAAACTGGCACTTAGATTTAAAGCGTACAAAGAACAAAACATCAAAAGACACAGGATTTGGTGATTGGGAAAAGTAATTACCATTGTGATCTAAATTTACCAAGCATCTGGTTTTGATTGGATTCTTCTTCTTTTTTCTTTTTTTTGCAGGCTCATTGAGTAAAGGTGTACCAAGACCAAGTAACTACTCTATTTTGCTTGTTTCTGAGGAGATGCTGTTGCTTTTTCTGGAATGTTCCACTGATGAGGTCATCACTGGGACAAGATACATATCAGATTGATAAAAAGGTGATAAAAAGGTGACTCAGGATGACTACATGGAAGACATTCGGAGGAACAAAAGCAATACTAATCAATATCATTGAATAGTTCCAAATTAGCCTTGCTGAGACAAGCGTGGGTATTGGGTATTACATGAGAAATGTAATCTATATTAATTTATACATCCATGAATTCCTCCATCTTCAACTGTATACATAGCAAGGAACTTCTGTAACATGGTAACAATGGTGAAAAGGCCATTTTGAGTGTTAAATCCCCTGCTGCAGCCCAGTCATTACTGTAATATTAAGCAGACAGATTCAAAACTATTTTATTTCAAAGTCAAATACGGTGCCCCACTGTTATTTGATGCGTGACACCTCCATTTTCAGAAACTCAAACTTCATTACAAAAGCAGTTTCATGCCTGTTTGTGCTCCTGTCTGATTATTTCCAAACTTATGACACAGCTAAAAAGTGTAGAGATGAAATGAAAGATTCACACAAACCTATGCACTCTGGCAGCGGCTTGTCCCACTGGCCGGTGGGCTGGCAGGTCAGAACAGGCGATCCAAACAGATAGTACCCGGGGTTGCAGTCATAGAAAACCACTGTGCCGAACGTAAAGTTGCCGTGTTCGATTTTGCTTTGTCTGATTGAGTTGGCTGGAATTCCTGGATCGGAGCAGTTGACCACTGTAGGCAGACAGACACACAAACAAACAATACACAACAGATATGGAGAGGCATGTGTTATTTAGGATCCACCTATCAGGGAAACTTCTCTTTCCTCTGCTACTCAGCTACTTTTGATATACAGGATACCATTAGATAGATTGATCATTGATTCAAGAAATAATCAAATGGGCTTTTTGTGGCTACATTTGAGATTCATCTGGACCAAACAGCAGAGGCAGTAATAATAAACCATTATAACAGGACATCCTTTTACAAACTGAGGCCCATAACATTTGCAATTGTCTCGACTGTCGGCGAGTGGAAACAGCTCTCTGTGCAAAAGCTTGTTATCGTTATGACAGTTTTTATCCAACTGCATTCAGAGCAGCATCATCATGGACACTAGGCACCGTGCCGAAAGCCTGAGGAGCAATTGCTGGATACCAATCAAGACCTCTAATTTTATTACACAGCAATCATAAACGGTTCAGTCAATGGGGCAGAGCCAAGAGACTCTGGGATCTCAAAGTCCATCCTCACACTTTAGAAAAAAAAAAAAGAAGAATAATGCAGATGTCAAAATAAATTGCCTGTCTAGTTAATTATGGGCGCTGTAAGTAATTAGCTGGAGTCCCAACATGGCAGCTTATCAAAAATATGTTAAGCCATTCATTATATAAACAAAACTTTGATTAACTTCAAAATACTGCCAACGTCACCTGACTTCTACAGTATATTGATTCATTGTAATGATGGTAATCTTATTCACCTAGAATAAGATTAATCTTTCCTGCTTGGGAAGAAAAGGAAGGAACAATAGGTTGCGTTTATGAAACCTCACAACCTTCTAAAGTTGAAGATTGTGGTGGAAGGCGTTATTATATATTATTATATAAAAATCGTTATTGCTAACTATGGTAACTGCCATAAGCCATACTGTATTTCTGTTCTTATTTTGAAGCTAATTTAGGATTTTTTTCTTCAGCCGTTCATCGAGAGGCTTATACTTGTATATTTGTAAAGTCTATCTTATCATATTTTTCTTTTTATAAAAAAACCTGGTGATAATTTTCAAAAAAACATATGCATGATATTGACCAGCAGAATGGACTTTCGGACATACAGATAATTAGGAAGCTCTCTGAATTTAATCAGTAAAAAAATTGGGAAGCTAGAAAAAACATTTGAACATTTTTGTTTGTATTTTAATATGACTTCTTTTTAATAGAATTGTATTAACGCCTGATCTCCAACCAAAACAGAACTCTAGAAAATGTGTAGATATGTCCTCTTTGGCTCTATTCTTCCTCATACACAGCTATTTCTGCACCTGTGAGATTGGATGCACCTTTTGACAGTTACATAAGGTTAGTTTGATACACTTAACTTTTTTCCCCACCTTTACACGTTGGAGGCGGGTTGCTCCACTGCCGGTTGGCCTGGCACTGAGCACGAGAAGGCCCCTCCATTTCGTAGCCGCGGTTACAGACGAAGCTCACCACGTCGTTAAGATTGAAGCCGTTTCCAACAGTGCGACCATAAATGGGACTTCCTGGATGACCACAGCTGATAGCTACGATAATAAAAAGAAATGATTATTGTTATGGTCAGGATGATGCGTCTTGGATGATTTTTTGCCTAGGTTCATGTAAATGGGGTTGTTTTGTCTGGAATATTCCACAGTATGGCACAAAAAATACCATTTAGATTGATATAAACAAGCATGTGACTCTAAGTTACAAGTTCTATCTGCAGTGAGGCAAGTCTTTTCACTGTAAAAATTCAGTTTCTTAAGAACTAAAACTCCATATTTGAAGAATGTACATGTTTTAAACCATGCGGCGTGATATTCCAAGAACATCAATAGCATATCTTTGGCAACAAGCAGGTAGCAGACTCAATGAGAACAAATAAAACAGGGCCTTCTGTTTAATCCTTATGCTTGGCTCTTTCTCTTACGCAAAACATACGTGCGGTCCAGACCTTTAAATGTAACGGAACATTTGGTGTGAATCTACAAAAAAAATCTCAGCTGTGACAGGATCAAAAGTTTTCACAGCTCAAACTCTTAAATGAAAGGTTCTACACAGATATAAATAATCTCTGAAGTGCCACACACACACAGTCTTTAACACTGAAATTCAATCAGTCAAGGTTGGTAGTTTTGCGTTGCTTGTGTATTTGAGAAAAAGGCCGGAAAGAGAAGCTACATAAAGAGGTAGATTGTGGTATATTCAGTATTTTATCGTGTGGTGGGCACATAGAATATTGAGGGGTGAAGGTTTGAAGAATTGACCAAATATGACAGGATAACAATGGTCAATGGAAGTGTGCTTTATAGCCGCACGATTTCCTGCTTTTTGATTATATCCCAACAACATCCATTTCTTTTGGCAAAACAGAATTTTTGTTGTTGTGCAAACTAAAGAAGTTGTCTAACCAACAATTGACCATGGGCATGTGGAGGTAGAAGTAGATCACACGCTCTCAGACTAAGCAATAAACAAAAAATAACTAACAAAAAGAGGAACTCAGTTTTACTCATGCCAAACCAAGGACAGCTACATCAGTGTCATCAACACTATTGAGAAAGCTAAATGCTCATGATATACCTAAATTTAGCATCTCAAAATAGACCAATTCTAGTCAAAATAGTTGTACAAGCCATGTTGTTGGCCCTTGGAGAAGTCTGGCGAACTAAAGTGGCCCTCTCAGTCAAAAGTTTGGACACTCCTGCACTAAGCTAACCACTAACAGGAATCATGAGAGAACTCCCCAACTAAAAATTGTGTTTATACTTCATTGTCATAAGTAATAAAAACTATATTATCTTATAAAGTATTTCAGACAAGATACAGAATTGTTTGTGATGTAATTTGAGCTCATTTTTACAAAACGCTTTCTCCCAGCGCTTTATTTCCTCATCTGATTACATCTACACTACTTTCCAAAACCTCTCCCACATTAAACTCAGAAAACAGCACAATTTTACAAAGGGAAGAATATTAGATGCTGCATTGTTCTCGAGATTCAGGCCAAATATGTGCGCCTACAGTGGGCCATGCATATGTATGAGAACAGCAGCGGACGCAGACCATCAAGCTGGGATTACAATTTGGGGTCACGGTTCTTGTAAAATATTCACCTACGCCGTCTTGAAGGTTTTCTATGTGGTGTGAGTGTGTCCTTTGAAACCCAGCGTGCATAATTGTTCCCTTGTTATCTCTGTGAAAGCTAACCGCGTGAACATACCCATATTGTTCAAATACCCAGTGAAAAGGAAAAGGAAGAGCATGTCTATTGTAACGCCAATTGAAAAGAAAAAAAAAGTGTAGGGGGGTTTATTGATATATTTGTAATGTATTGAACATCTCTTATCATTTTATAACAGCGGTGCCAAACCGGCTCCGGAAAGGGCAGATGTGGCGGCAGGATTTCATTCCAACCAAGCAGGAGCACATCAGACTCCATCCATTTCCTCCAGACTTCAGGTTAAGACACAATCCTGCATCCACACTGGAACTTTCTGGGACCGGTCGCATTTCAGGAACCCTTGCCACATCACTGCCATTTGGGAGTCGGACATTATCTGACATTATGGAATATGAATACAAAGTTGTAATAGAAATTCTAGAGAATAAATTCTATCATTTTGTTTTGTAGCAACTAATAACACATACGATAAAAATATATTTTTCTCCCCTACTTTCTTGTTAATTGGAAGGTCTGACAGTAGACTAAAAGGGAAACATTATGTTTTCAACACTTTCACTTAAATAAGCCTGTCTTCGGGGCCTCCTGGAAGCTTATTGGGAAGGGCCGGCCCTGTTATTTAGTAGAAACGTGGTAAATAAGCCTGGATTTCTTCTATTTTCTTTAGAAGTATGGTATAAACAGAATTTGCTTAATTATAGTTATCTGAATCATCACAACCATTATGAAAAATACATTGATTGTGGTTACAGAGAAGAGACAGGAAGGAGCCGTTTTGATCCAAAAAAAATCAGTAGATTGTTCCTTTTCCTGAAACTGAAACTCACCCAACACCTTCTGTGTTCCAAGCAGCTGTACGTGCTCACAATGTTGTCTAATCACCATTGACTGTTTGTGTGGTATAAAGAAACTCTAATCTCCATAATTATAGTATAATTTGGCGGTAAAATGATTTGCCTCAATAACTCCAGCATGAATAACCCCAATAAAATCTCAGTTGGAGAAGAAGACAAAAAGACTCACAGCTGGAGACACAAACAGAGCAGTGTCGATCCAGAGCCGAGTCAAACATGTATGAGCTACGTCTGCTTAGAACAGCAAGGTTTATTGGATAATTTGAGGATTTTTTATAGATTCTGGTTGTGTTTGTAAACAGCATGAGAAAGAGAGCAGCAATTTGAACAGACTGCTTTACATTCAGAATTATAGAAATAATAGTAAAGTTCTTGACAAATGACAATGGTATCACTTCTGACAGCGTAGACATAATATAATTTCTTATATGTAGAAATGACTGAACACAATGAGATTAAAGTTCTTTTCACCAGACACTGTTGCTTCCTAGAAATTTGCAGTTAGTAAAAAACCTATCGACAAAGAAAAACTAGCGCACAACAGGCTGTGATCGGCATTAGCAAACCCGAGATGCTGATGGCGATACTTACAATGAGAATACACAATGCTTTTATAAAAGTGCAAGTTTTTTAAAAGCAGTCATCATCATTTTTATACGACTGCCACGGTGATGAGCGCTTTGTGTGACCTTGGTTCGTGTGACTTATGAAATGTTTTATAAAAATAAAGCTTTCTTACTACTATGATACAACCCAAACCCTCATCAGATTCAGATTCATTTTATTAGCCATGTGCAGTATAAAAACTACATTGGAATACATTTGCAAAAAAGGTACTCTGTGTGCACCGACAGACTAAATACTCATGATATTGTAATTATTATCATGTGAAAATTCTCTTAAAAAAAGAGCAATGGCCATAAATGTTGTAATCTGGTTTAATTTCCTACTTAGGAAGTTAAGAGGTGAGAGGGATTAACTCCTGTTGCAGATTTAAACAACTGGATCTGAGTTTACAGTGACATATGTAATGCACTGAGTGAGTTAGGCATTTAGCATTTAGCCTAGCTTTAGCCATCTCCTTTGCCACAAACGAAGCCCGTGGGGAGAAGAGCCACAACATCTTTGCCATTTGCTTGCTCTGGCTTCAATTTCTTGATATTTGGACACCCGCCTCCCACGATCGCTGATTGGTCAAACCCAGACCCAGACGTACATGTAGGAAATGATAATTGACCGTAGTTTACGGACGGCTAAGGCCAGGCTATAAATGTTGTATAGTTTCACATTTTATAGTGTTCTACAAATAATGAAATTCCTTACAGTCGTACTTTGCTCTACATGTAACACAGACTAGTAAACTTCCAAAGCCTCAGATCTGAACACTCACTTTCTGTTCATTTATTGTGCTTTCTGAAAAAGTAAATCTTGATCACTATCTCTTTCATGAGTGCACATAACCAGCAGTGCCAGTTTCGACCCAAACAGTTCCAACTGCTCTTAGCAAACACACATTTTTAGACTATCCAAAGTCGGCCAAATAACAGGGCCTTCTGTTTTATCCTTATGCTTGGCTTTTTATCTCATGCAAAACATACTCGCGGCCCAGACCTTTAAATGTAGCGGAACATTTGGTGTGAATCTACAAAACAACTCTCTGCTCTACAGAGGCGGGATCAAAAGTTTTCACAGCTCAAATCTCCAATAAGGTCATTCTTCAATTAAAGGTTCCATGTGTTTTTTTGGAGGTTTTAGATACAAATTAAGTATAGTTTATCTGCAGCTCCGCACACACAGCCCAAACACTGAGCTTCAATCAGTCAGGGCTGGTAGTTTTATGTTGCTAGTGCGTGTTTGAGGATAAAAACACAGGAAGTATGGGTGTACCACTACCTACTGTACCTAAAGAGGAAGGTTGTGGTACATATATTTTAAGATACTGTAAATGTTGTGGGCATATGGAATATTTGGGAAAAAACATGTTCTCTTTTGTGACCAAACACAGTAACAAGAATATATATTTTTAGTAATATAGTGGTATTCAGTTTTTCTGACAGGTATTTTTCATATACCACTGCTTTTCCAAATCATTTTGGCACATTATCAAGTCTCAACAGCACAAATATAAAACAATGATTCGCAGAGCATCTCAATTTTCCAAGCCTGGAGTCAGTGTGAAGGCATGAAAAATGTACTTATTGATTGTACAGTTTACTCAATACATACAAAACACAATAAAATGGAAAAAAAAAGACGCAATTCAAGTATAAACTCTCTACTTAGGTCTTTTACATATTTTACCTTCCAAACTATTTGACCTTAAAGCCCAAGTGACAGGTTAGACTTTACGGTTATATTCATATTTGTTTAACACACAGTTTTGAGTGTTTAACAAATATGGTGAAACACTCTTTTTGGAGAAATGTTGTTGGAATAAGAATCCTTCCCCTCTCAAGACATCATCCGTTCTTTTTTATCAGTGTATTTTATCAGTGTACAATGATTGTGTGTGTGTTTGTTTACGATTAAAAGTGTAATTAAAAAGAATCCCATCCGTTGGTTGATACATTTTAAGCCCATAGAGTCCGGTTGATGCAGTAACTCACGTATGCAGACAGGAAGCTGTCCGGACCACTGGTTGTCTTGGAGACAGATGCGGACTGAAGAGCCTATTAGCCGAAAGCCGGGCAGGCACTGGTACACCACGGTGTCACGGTAACCGAAGTTCTCTCCGATCACTTGGCCGTTCACAATGGTCTCTGGAATGCCACAGTGACCGGCTGAAACACACATTGGATCCAAGAGAACAATTAGAAGTTAGAAAGTAGAAGTTAGTTTTATAGTAGTTCTTCTGTCGAATCAAAAGTCTGCTGGGACATGTAACAGAATGTTTTCAAAGATAAAGATTAAGGTAAAGTGCATCTTCATATTATTTTGGTTGTATCTATGGTCACACTTGTTTGTTTGTGTCACTTGTGTTACACCATCCATAAGTTTTAGTAAACATATAATTATTCTGTTTTTCAGTCACTCACTGTATTCAAATATGTGGCAAAACAAAGAAATCTCCATAACATTTGAAGAAGTCTGTAATCAGTGTTGTGTTAACCTTAATTGTGAAGCTTCCTGTTTTGATGATGCTTTTCTTACAAAAACAGCGCCACATCAGTGAAGGTTAGAGGTTTTTTAACATTTCCTTATAAATAATAAACTGTTTTTGAAGTATTCTGGGAAACATGCTCAGGGTTTCATGTAATCGTGACAGCACAAAGTCACAACATCTCTTACCTCTGGCTTCTGACTGAGATGAAAAATGGCACACGTCTATTTGCTGATGAGAAACGCTCAAGGTGCCACTTTTTTTTTTTCTAAATTAGGTCATACATGACAACGTTCAGGATACAATATTTACTTTTGAAAGTTCACCAAACAAATGTACTGAAAAATATATTATCATAATAATGCATCAAATTATTTCAAACTCTTCACCTCTGCTTTTCTTACAGCCGTATATTATTGCAACAAAGATACATGTCATATGGTTATGTATCATGCAATTAGTTTCAAATACAACTTCACTCTGCACTTGTACAATGTAGACTTTTACCCAGAGGGGTTTCATCCTTTTGTGCGCTTGGGAAAGGCATCAGCAAAGAGACAGAGAAAATAGTCAATGAAGAGTTTTGGTAGTAATGGATAAGTATTATCTTTCTGTGGCATAATTATAATCATAATATTGTTGCACATATTAGAATAGATTCAACTCAGATTTCAATATGAAATTATCACTTCAAATTAGAACATAGTGCTATAAATATTGTCTTTTCTAATATATGTTTTTTGAAAAATTAATATAGAAGCAGAGTTTGGTTTCCATTGATCCAGGGGTCAAAGAATGAGGAAATATGAAGCAGTCGTTTTGTCAGACAGAAAGGTTTAGTGCATTAACTGCCTCTGATTCTCGCCCTCATTAGGCTCGATGTGAAAGTTCCGGCTTTCGCACTTCTGCCTTCTGGTGACTACTTTACTCTGTGACCTTTTCGAAGCCATGTTCTACCTGCATTTTCCCAATGACGATAAATGTAAGCTATACATCACTGAGTGCATTAACAGCATGCTCGTACCCAAACAGCGTGTTTCGGTTCCACTCCAAAGCCCAGAGGACAAGCACTCCCTCACAGCAGAGCCCACCAGCATGAAGCCAAGATCACAGGTGAAGATCGCAGTGGCTCCGAATGAGGTTTGTGTGCCGATTTTCTTCCCAGTGGGCGGAGAGGGTAGGTCTCCGCATGAGATAACTGCAACACCACAGACACCAGCAATTAAAGACGAGTTAAAATGTTCCTGAGAATGTCTTAAGGGCTAATAGGATTAAAGGCTGACTAAAAAAATCAACCGAGCTGTTTATTTTTTTAGCTCCGAAACAACAGAGCGACAACTACTGAATCTTGGTTTAAGGTATCTCTATTTCAATGCAATAAAAGCTGCTTTTACACCAGCTCAAAATTGTTCTTGAATGCTCTTTCATTATTTTGATGCTCACTAAATCCACTTAATACCAGGATAGACATATGTTTTATAGTCTTTGGTATTTAGCAGATCAACATAGCAAATCCCAATGTATTTATTTTTTTGGTTCAATTGTCCCATTTGAATAGAAAAAGGAAAGAGACTGGAGACGCGAGAGCAGGGGTCTCAATGTAATTTTTGATAGTAACCGAAAATTCACACAAACTTTTTTAGCTTAAAGTGATAGTCTGTAACTCTAAATGAATTACATATTTTAAGAATTGTATTAAATTGACCTCCTGGCCTTAAATGTTGATATAAAATAAGTCATTTTATGAATTCTAATATTACAGGTAAGTCCCGCCTTCCCTTCTCTTAGCTATAGCTCAGAATCCACGATGCCGTCGAAGTTAACCAATCGAGTCATGCCAAGGGCTGTCAATCATCGGCGCTGATGCTCGCAGCTGCGCACATGCTAAATTGTTTGTTTTCGCGGAGCCTCCGAATCAAGCCTCCATTAGGCTCTGGAACTTCATGAAAACTGAACAAAGAATTCTGAACATCCGCGCTGAGGTACTTGTGTATATACTGAACCTATATCCATAATCATTTATATACTGAACCTATATCCATAATCATGTATATACTGAACCTATATCCATAATCATTTATATACTGAACCTATATCCATAATCATTTATATACTGAACCTATATCCATAATCATTTATATACTGAACCTATATCCATAATCATTTATATACTGAACCTATATCCATAATCATTTATATACTGAACCTATATCCATAATCAGATCCTCTGCAGATGTGTCCTATAATGTGCAACTCGTGATAATAGCTATTTCCGGGTTTGCAGCGATCGCTTTTTTTGTGCATTAAAACAATTTTTTTTTACATGAAAACGTCAACAAATAATTCTGAAAACCTCCGTGCATGTGTATTAATAATGTATATGTATAATGTGTTTTCTGATTAACATTTAAAAGTGTTACGGAAACGTAGGTGTAGACCAATCAGAAAGGAAGGGGGAGGGAGCTTGCGTCGTTTTTTTCAAATCAAGTACTTCTCTCTCTCTTCATTCCAAGATTTCCATTATTTTCTTTTGAGGAATTTGATTTGGAGCTAATCTTAAGCCATATTAAACTATTATCGTCCATTGTAAGAGGTCTGTCCTGTATTATATTCACTCACTTTGGCAATGGGGTCTGTCGTTCCTCCAACTCCAAACCCCATTGGGCAAGCACTGGATGTGGGCCGGTCCGAGTCGGTAGTATCCAGGGTCACAAGTAAACACGATGCGAGTGCCATATTCATAGTGAGAGCCATTTACGATCCTCCAGCGGCCGTGCTCCAGAGAGAAGGAGCCGATGCTTGGGCACACGACAACTGTAAAATATAAAGCCGAAACAAACGGGATGATCATGACAACTGTACCTCTGGTGGTTGTTGGTGTGAGTGCTGAAACTATAGATGTATTTATACATTTAAATAGTGATTTTTATTGGTTCCTTTCATTAAAGAATGCATGCAACATGAAAGAGAAAAGTGCATTCCGGTCACATGCACATTTAGATATCATTATACTTATCATTCCAGAACAACAACTTTAAAACAAACTTATAAGCAATTGTATAGATTTTTTTTTAAGATTCCAACTCCATGTATCCATCCAAAAGCTGCTATTAAACTTATTACTGAAGTGGAAAATTTGAAGTTCATCAGTGCCTCCATTCCCAGGGTCCTCGCCAGTGCTTTCTGAGCTGTCATTTTTTACCCCACTGCGATTTTCTGTTGTTTTTCTTGAGTTGCTCTGATCAATTGGCCACTATTCTATTAATCAACCATGTCAAAAACGGTTATATTAAGGGACATAATGGGGACTCCGGCACAGCTGAAAGAAATCTGGCAAGAATCCTGATTCCAGAGTGCCACTTACACACATTAGTTCCACATTTCTGCTTTATGAAAAGTTTTTTACCTTTCAACTCACAATGACTTTCTCTGATTGTGAACTATTGTAATGATGTTGACAAGACGTGATTATTTTATTTCAAGCATTTTTCTTTTGAATGCGCCGGGAATAGCAGCAAGTCCGAAGTAGCTCTGAAACTGTTGTTTTTTTTGTTCTTTATCATTTTTTTTATTTTTCTTGCTTTTTTCTGCTCGAGATGTTGCTGCGGTACAGTGTACAGCACTGGTCCAGACCAGAACAGAAAAGGATTCATGGTCCGAACCAACCGGATCTGGCAAAAATCCACTTGAGGAATGCTAACTTTTTGAAAATACTAACAAAGCATTCAGCATTTTACTTTGGACTAGAGCAGAGAAAATGGTTCGAACCCAGCGGCTCCTCCATCTCTACTGCTGTGACCTGAAGTGCTGTTGGATTTTATTATTACTATTGTTAGCTTTTTAGAATAATCAATTTATTTGTTTTGTTCGTGTGGATGGATGTGTTTTTGCTGCTACTGGACACATGAATTTCTCCTACGGGGATCACTAAAGTATCTATCTATCTATCTATTTAAATATCTATCTATTATCACCGGTATGTAATCATAAAATGTCCATGTTTGAAGATTAGTTGGCTCCTTAAAAGTAAACAATGTGATCGCTATTAACACAATACTACAGGAGCCCCATTAGATGTATAAAGACAGGAACAGAAGCTATATGTGTCGGTCTGTCGGTATCACCTGAACAGCGTGGGATCTTGTTGTGGTTGCTCCACGTGCCGTCCGGCTGGCAGATAGCAGATGTGAGCTCTTTACTCGACAGTCTGTAGCCGTCATTACAGAAGTAGGAGACTCTCGTTCCCACGGAGTAGTCAGCTGTTAAAACGCCACCGTTTATGGGAGCCTTAGGTGCACCACATGACACAGCTGCAGGGAAACACATATTTACAGCTCAGGGTTAGCCACAGAAGATTAAAACACAGCTCTACGCTTTGTTAACATTGTTCTAGAGGGGTGTATTATTTCTGATCACCGTGCACACAATTAGCAGAAGCTTGGATTAAGTAGTATAATCGACTCATAGGAACTAGGAAAGGCCAGCGTACATCCAAATTTTTCCAACAGAGTTTTAAATAGTCTTGTTTGTAAAGCACGCCAGTTTTACAGTGTTGACAATCTGCTATACATCCTTCATTTGCCTTTCTATCAATAACTGCGTGGAGCTGTGCCTGGCGGTTATTTGATGTGTGCGATTAGACAGCAGCACATCAAATATTTAATATGTATCTACTCCTTGATGTATGGCAGTGGTTTTTAAAAGCAGTCAAGTACAGAGGTGGATAGAAGGACGTGTTTACGTGATCCAAATACGTGCATTGTTTATTCCCCTATGTCTGAATCGTTACACATTTTAATTCAAACAACAGACGAAGACAATCAGCTGTGCTCAACAGTGGAAAGAAATGTGAAACATTGAAATGATCACATTTGCAGTGAAGGAGCTGTAAAAGTATATTCTGTAACTTAAGCAATACTATGCACATATTTAATATAATGCTCAGGTGTTCTATGGTAGGTCTTACTCAGTTAAGTTGAGTATGTAACCTTGAAACACAAAACAATTGATCCATATTCATACTTATTAGGCTCAGCTGTATATAAGCCAAACAGCAACATTTAAATAAAAAGTTAATTTTGTCCAAACTTGAATATAATATATAATATAATAATATTGTAATATCATAAAATAATATTGTGATCAAGCAGATAGATTTAATGACGACCGTCAATCAATCAACTTTTAATTATTATTTAGTGCCAATACTCTGGCATTGAATAACACACATTTTCACGATAAACGAGTGCTCTAAAACTTGGAGTCGAAATAAGTCCATACACTCTTCTCTCACAACAGCCCAACTCTATCACAATGAAAATACAGATATTACCTGCACCACTAAAAGCCGCAGGGTCTGAAGAACAACAAAAAAGTAGTGGCTTATAGTCCAAAAATTACAGTTACTAGTTTCTCGCTCTAAAAACTATTTGGCTCTATCAGTTATCACATGCATGCATTTAAAATGGACCGCCCTCACATGACCAAACAGCGCTCAGTCATATTTCCTAATAAGATGACAGCAAATAAGATGTATTTATGGGGGAAAAAAAAATCTATTATATGAATCCGACTTTCAGTAAAACCACTTTGCTGCACACTCATATGGCTCTTGTGTAAAAGTACCTTGACAAGCAGGTACAGGCGAATCCCAGGCGTGGTAGCCCAGCACAGTTCTTCTACAGGTTGCTGTGGCGTTGCCGATGAGCCGGTAACCTCGATCACAAGCCCAACGCACGACACTGTTGACATGGCCGCCACTTTGAGAGGAGATGGACCCGTGCAACGGAGAGTCCGGCGTGGAGCAGTACAGCGCTGAAGACAAGGACAATTCAATGATAGAGACTTTAAATATAAAGAAAGGAGTCACTAGGAAAGCCTTCCAGAATCAAACTATAGAATAGAACATATATCAACAGACCACGGCATGTATTCTTGGTTTAGAAGAACTTATTTACAGGACACACAATCCTGCTACTCCCCATACAGCCCTCTGATGGCGCACTTGTGTCTGCTACGGCCTATCAGTGGTGAATGTTAATATGGTGTTGTATAAAGCATTATGTTCCGCTTCCCCAAGACAAATTTCTCCTGCGGGAGGCAAAAAAAGCAGTACCTTTTCTTGTATACTGCTACTACTAGTACTGTATTATTACTTCTAATACTACTACCAATTTACTATTACAGCAACTGCCACTGGAATGAAAATAATGCATACACTAAAACAGTAGGGAAAAAAAACAATTATTTAAATCCCTGAAGCAACTAAACAATAATTTTTAGTATCATGAAAGCGTTCCGAATGAGATTCAACCACTAATGTTGCAAAAGAGTAAAGTGTAAAAGAGTTGTTCTAAATAATCAAGATAGATGATACACTTATGCAGAGACATTGCAAAGGATTATTTTATTAGATGCATTTGTCTAGCAGTAAAGGTGATTGTGATTCAACTGGAAATGGAAGTGGTTCAGATGTCCTCCATAGATTTGGCCAGAATAGATTGTTTTATAAAGCCAACCTTTATCATTATTTGTGAAATTGTCTCTATATAGAAATAAACTGTCGGACCAACTTAAACTGACAAGGACCAACAGTCTGTACTGCATTGTTCACATATTCACTTTAAGTGTCTCAATAATGGAAAAACGCATTATATTCTAAAGTTAGACATATTTTTTTCCCAGATGAAGAACTGCAGTCGTTTGCCAGTCAATAAGGTTTTGTCACTTCTTCCCAATTAAGGATCTCTGACAGAGCATATTTCTAAAGTGGAGCCTGCTGGAGCCAAACACAAATGATTACCAGGGAAAGCGGCACTATCACTGAACCAGCATGTTGGAAGGCAGCCAGTAAAAATCTCTTTAGGTCTAGTCCAGTTTTCTCTCCTTCACTGTATTTTAGGATTAAGAGGATTATTTCCACGACAACAAACTTCATTCAATCCTAATAAGTGTAACACATGCAATTATAAAGACACTTTGTATTTGGAAACGGAGAAGTTTGCTTTTCTTTTCAAACAGATTCTGGCGGAGTGGAAAGAAAGCACTGTACATGTTAAACCAGCTTTCAACATAATGCTTTACAGTCTGTGCAGATGCCCACATTAATCATAGCTATCAGAAAGGGTTAGACTAAGAGCATCCTGGGAGGCAGTTTTGTTATTATTGAGTATATAATTCATCACACAGTCCAGTGGTGAATTAAAGGTTAAAGGAGCATCCTTCCGACTGGTGGCTTACAAGTATGGAGAAAATGAGCAAAATGCTACATGTAAAATGGCAGTCCACCCTCACAGCTGTCAGGGAGTGCCCTTGAATAAAGCACACTGACACGATTACATGGAAAAGGTGCTTAATGCCTAACCGTTTAGCGTTTTGCTCAACTTTCCCAAGTGGAGTGCTATGAAAGTGCAATGCAAAGCCAACAAACAACATCTGTGCCTGTGTAGACGAATCTATATCTACAATCTACAATGCAATTTTCATTTAACAGAAGACAGACAGAAGCCGAATAACCCAATGGTTTGGCCACTTTAACTGTAATACATCTTTCAACATCATTCAAAATTGCATTCTATCATTTGCAATCTAAAACTATCTTCTGTCTGCTTCTGTGTTTATTCCATGCAATATAGTAAAAGTAGTAGTAAGATAAGATTGGATACATACTTTGGTACTCACCAACATAGCGAATTTTGAAGCCTTTCTTGTTTGTGCCATGGTCCGAAGACCAGCGGACCAAAAACTGATGGCCAGTGGTAGTCAGGTTAAAGGGAGTGGGCAGGTCTCCACTCAGGGTGGCTAATGAGGGGCTGTTAGCGGTGGAACCTGTGGGAATGGGAGACAGCGTAAGACTATACAGAACTGTCACGTCAGCCAATATGATTTCACTGGATAAATTATGAAAACTCAAATGAATATATATTTTCTCCTGTTACACCTTTCTTCAGCTTGGCCAACTACTTTTGTACCTTGCCTCACTTTCTGACCACTGCAGACGTTTAAAATGTGCTTGCATTTTTTGACATTTCACTAATGTCACACTTTCGAAAGGTATTGATGCTCAACAACTGATTAATAAGACAAATGGCTGTATTTAATATTTACTGTGTGATTCCTGCAGCTGTCACTGCTACAGACACTGCTGACCAATGCAGATTGGTCTCATTTAAAGTACAGTCTTGTTTCTTTATAGTCTATAACTCATACAATATGTAGAGCAGCATTTACCGTCAAAGATCTCCAACACGTCAAACTCCCTCTCCGTGTGGAAGCTCTCCAGAGAGATGGTGACATTGTAGCCCTTCTCCACAGTGACACTCCACGAACACATCTGGAGATTGGGGTAGCTGTCGGGCCAACCCGGACTCAGGATGACCCCAGAAGAGTCGTATCTCACATCATGAGCCGGGCATTGTACTGTAGACAAAGAATAACAGTTCATAATTACACATAATATGCTTCTACCTATGGGTGTGCAGTGAAGAAGCCATTCTTTAACACTTCTTAAAGTATGACTATGACAATATATGATCCCCGTGGCTCAAAAATTAACATAGTTAATATGAAATTTCATTCTATTTTTCTGTAAGATTCAAACATTCGAATCAGTAAAATGTTTGTTCATATAGCCCTAAATCACAATAGCAGTCTTTTCTGTCTCGTCAACAACAGATCAGAATATCAAACGTTTGAACAAAGGAAATGCAATAATAAGGAACACAGAGGAGCCAGGTGTGATAGTGCTAAAACATGAATGAAACATAGCTTTGAATGTATAAATAACAAGATTAAACAACTATAGCATTGCCAAAAGCTGTGAGAAGTCTGTGTCTCTTTTATTAGATGATTTCTCAGAAATTCTCAAAATGTTATCGTTTTATCCTCACCATACAAGTCACCACAGCAAAAAAAATTCCATTCCTTTTGTAAATAAAAATGTTATCAACCTTGGCACGTGGGCGGCGGTGCATCCATCTGAAGCCTCTCTCCAAGACGACAGGTGAGAATCTCAGTGCCGACCAATGAGAAGCCAGGATGGCATCTGTACCTGATGATGTCACCTGTTACGTCAAAAGCAAGTTTAGTCGACGCAGAAGTGGAAAACATGAATATTTCATTTCCAGTTTTACAGCGTTATGCAACTCTGCTTATCCAACAAAGCTAAAATATGTCATTAATTTTTAAACGCCTGAATAGCATTACTGTCAGTGGTGCATCTAGGGATAGCGTTTGATAAACTTGGGCCATGAGAAAGTATCAAGTGGGCTGGTTTTCATGCTCCATCAAAGTGACACAAATTGACTGTGGTGTGTCAAACGGAAGGACAACTCACCTATCTCCAGCTCGCCGTCCTCCATCAGGGTGTCAGCGTTGGGCACTTCAGGTGGAGGCTGGCACACCCGTAATTGGTACGCTGGGACACATGCGGACGACACAAAATGGACAAGTGTAAACAGTAAGAAATGAGTGTCCAACAATTGTCAAACCAGACTTTACATGGCCACAAACAGACAATCAATTACTCCTGCTCTTCAATCTAATAAAAGGTATCAAGGGAGATTCTGCTCAAAGTTCCAGCTCTCGGTTCCAAAGGACCACTCTAGTTTTACTTGTAGGTAACTCAGTAAGTAAGTAATCTTTATTTATATAGTGCCTTTCCTACTAAAACTACGCAGGAGAGAACATACAATCTCCACTCCACCGGGAGAACATAAAACTCCACTAAGAATAACCCTGTTCCGACCGGGATTCGAACCCGGAACCTTCTTGTTGAGAAGCTACCGCACCACCCTTAGTACAGTGCTATACCAGTCCTGTACTGTCTTTCAGAACTTCTCAACGACCCTCACTGACGTTTGCAGCCGTTTTATTTTTTGCCGTAATCAAAAAGACCCGGCATTAGCTCCTAAATGGCTACACAAACATACTCGGTGCTGAGAACAATGATTGACAGTGAGGTAGTGATGCACACAGATATTTTTTGTGCATTTCGATTGGCACAAACATCCATCACAGTTTATGGGGAAAAAAGCGACAACATAGACGCCAATCGTTTTAGCAGAAGGTAGTTCCAGTAGTGCATGATCCCCATTTATTTATAGATCAGCTTTTTCAGACAGAAAAGTGAAAGAGAGACCACCCCCACTCAGCCAATCAGCTCTCAGCCCAAAGCCTCAAATAGTGACTCACATTTTGTCTTATGCAAATGATAACTATTGTGTAGTGTGTAGGGTCTCACTTTAGTTCTTGCTTTAGCAGATTCAAAAATAAATACACCTCTGAGATTACAACAGTTTTCTGTGTTTGATACACACGTTTCTTTCGGTTGGACAAACACCATTTATTATTGTTTTAATTACAAAAGTTAAGGGATAGGCCCCCAAACTTATAAATAATATAATAAAAAAGCAGTTGTTTTACAGTGCATTTTTGAACAAATACAGATAACTTCAACTTCCCCAAATGTGGGTGTATAAGCCCATCTCTCAACAGTAAAACAATCGGCCACCATTTCACGATTCTGCCTGGAATCATAAAGAGGAAGCAAGTTCACAGCCGCTGAGCAGAATGTGTAATCAATACAGCTGCATGACCATCGCTCAGTCATTAGAGAGAGAGAAAGAGAGAAGAAGGAAGCACCGGCGGCTATGACTCAAGATGAAATTGACTATGAAAATGAGACCTGCCAATAGTATCTGTTGCTCTCATGCATATCAACGCCCTGGGGGTTGTGTGGGTGCATGTAAACACACCCGCATCTCCTCTTCATTGTATTTACTGTATATGAGCAACAGCAAATCATCATAATCATTGATCGAGAAGAGACATCCATTTTCTGACCACTTTCGCAGCCACGAGTCCACAGTGTGAGGCTGTGAAATGCGAAAGGCAATGACAATCAGAAGATGGACCCACTGTGACAGAGAGCGGACATGCATGGATAAATATTGGTAAATTGAGGATGCCGTCCACAGAGGAATTGAGTTGGTATTTTGAAAGTGCTCTTTAACGGCTGTCGCAAACGCAGACATTATGTGACATTAGCAACAGCAGAGGAATTACGGGGAAGACGTTTCTATATTGATCGATACATACAATACTGAGCGAAAGAAAAACAACTCAAATACAAAATATGAGGGAGTAGACTGTACTGCTTTTTCAGCGCACATACAGGACAGTACTAAGAGCAAATAAGGAGTATAAGTTTTAGAAATGTGGGCAAAAAAATAGATATACTAGATGAAGTGAAATTGCAACATAAAAATTCTGAAATTGCAGTATTGTTGTATAAAGCATCTTTAAAGCAGTGCAAGTAGCTTACTTGCTTTTTAGAGCTCTTGGTTGGATTTAATCAAAAACCATTAATGAAAACGCTCAAACAACATGCACTACAGATGTGTTTTTCCCAGGGAAATGTACAACTGCACCATTTATTAGAACTTTGCTCAGAGCTGTCAAGACAGTTTGTATCAACAGAAGGCCATTTTAGAGAAATGTTATTTTGAATTTCTCTCTATGATGTTACTGTTTAAAAATGAGCTCACAGATGTCTACTAAAGCTCGATTCCTCTTGAAGCCCTTTACAGAAGTATTGGAAACACACACATTTATGATTATTGCATATTGTGTGTGTTTTTTTTTTTATATTCCAGCTGTGCAATAACACAAGTTACAAGCTACAAACTATTTCCTAAAATTTCTAGTTTTTGATGGTTTTAATAATAATGCATCAGTTTTATATAGCGCTTTTCTGGACACTCAAAGACGCTTCACATGTGTCATTATTCATTCACTCCATACACGGTGGTGATAAACTACTGCTGTAGCCACAGCTGCCCTGGGGCACACTGACAGAAGCGAGGCAACCAGTATGTGCCATCGGCCCCTCCGACCACCACCAACCATTCACACACACACCAGACTCATTCTAGGCAATGGGGGTGAAGTGTCTTGCCTAAGGACAGCAGTTTGGCACTTTACAGCCGCAGCCGCCCCACTGTGGCTGGTGTTCCCAGAGGTTAAGTGTCTTGCCAAGGACACAACGACAGTAGTCAGTGGGAGTCGATGGTGAAAGTCTTGAGCGGGGCTTGAACCCACGACCTTCTGGCTCAAAGGCCAAAGCTCTACCAACTGAGCTATTGCCGTTTTAGTTTAAATGATGAAAAACTGAAGCGATTCTCATCTACCATACGATTGTTTGGGGTACATGTTGGACTACATACCCCGCCTTAAACAGCATGCACTGGAACTCAGATCTTTTCTTTTGACTTTGCCTTTTGTGTGATGCCAGTCTCAACTTTACATGTCGCACAAAAACCAGAATTGAAAATAAAACTTGAATCCGTCTGATTTCCTGCTCCTGCACAAGTGTGACAGCTGACAGATGAAATCTGCCAGGAAAAAATCATTAACAACATGCCAGAATCTAAAAAAGTAAAGCCCTATCTGAAAATGGATGGAACACTTGATGTGAAAGTCACAAAAAGTAAGTTTTAGGCAAAGACAACTATGCTATTCACAAACAAGATAGCAGAAGATCTACTTGTATGCTGTGAGAAAGAAAATGGGAGAATCTCCAGTTTTGAAACTCATTAGAGGCCATTCGTGTAATAAGGGTTTTTCAAAAAGCTGTCAAGTGAAGGATGAGAAAAAAAACACACCCTATTGAAAGTCCCTCCCAAAAAAATTCAACAAAGACACATTTTGATGGCTTTGAAAAAGTACCCTTCTTATTTCGAGAAAAACTCTTAAGACCGATGGAAGATGGATGCTCAGCAATGGTAAGACAGATGCGTTTGGGCTGAAATAAAAAGCAGGACCATGTTGAAGGCTTTCATCTTAAATACAGACAGAAGACAAATCGAAGCTTTCGAAGGGCCACAGTGAAAGATGGAGAGGAAATGAAAAAGTGAACTCCACGACATGGCAGACCTGCACAAATATAATGTCTGGACTGTGTGGAGAAAAGCACAAGTCCAGTGGAGGTGTAGTGGAGCTTTTAATACCAAGCACATTGGAATTCAATGTGTGCTTTCCTTCTTTATAAGTATGTAAAAGGCACAGACTAGAAAAATGATGTAAGCACTCTGAAATCTTCTTAGGAGGCACAGGTAAAGCAAATAAAATAAATCACACAATTGAATCAACTTATCCTCCATGTTATTATCACATTGCATAATTAATTTATCATGCAAAATGGGTGGGTTACTAGATAGTAACCTTAACATGGACAATGATTAAATACCAATCTATAGTACAATACTCAAGTTTTCATCAATATTATTTCAATATATGTAATATTTTGTTTCAGAAATAATACTTGTTGTTTTTCCCCAGAGTCTTGTAAAGTGTGAGCAAATCAGTCTTTATCTTATTGGGAAACATTGTATACTTTGCAAACTTGTAAGACAGAACCATGTGAGTTACTATTTGACATTTTGGGCTGAAAGCAGATTGACTGAGTGAGGATGATCCACTCTTTTTCACTTTTCTGTCTGAAAAAGCTGAAGTAAAGAGGGTAAAGATGACAGAAACCAACAAATGCTCGTCCCTGAAAACTAGTGATAGAACCAAAGGGTTTTAAAGCAAATAAATAGTTAGATTTAGTTACACTTTTTGTGGACTGAAAGTTATGTACTTCAGTTTTAACAACTGAGATAACTACTTCAGCTCTAGTACATATTTCCTTTTCTCTTGGACAAGGCAAAATAAATAGAAACAGAAAGAGAAGAACAATCTTGGCGTGTGCATGTGCCAGAGCGAGCTGGTGTGAGCTAAACTTAATGAGGATTCAGTACTGTAGAAGACAGCTCTACACAACAACAAACAGATCGATGGCATCACTGTGGCTACAACTAATGATGCCATTATTGGTTCCCCACAACCTGAGGCTGGCAGCTGCTTCCAAACTTCACTAAAAATGTATTTAGCAGTGAGTCGCTACCATCCAATAACACTTTTGTCTCCGGCATAGCGTGTAAACTTAAGACTTCAGAAAACTACAACCGACAACCAAGAACATAAGACACAAATTTATAAATGAACCTGAAAGATTAACAATCTAGTGGAAAATGAAGAAAGCTGCAGGGCATGGGAACACCTTGATCACGTTGAATTATGTTACAGTTCAAGTGAAGAGTTAGGGCCCAGATCGCGCCACAGGGGTGTGAAAACGGCCCGCGGTTACATGAACGTATTGTCTGAACCGTGCCAGGGAAATTGTGCTGTAGTACAACACTCGGTCCAGCTGGTGGCGCTAATACTAACACCAGAGACTACCTCGTTGCCCTGGTTGAGATCCGCTTCTTTTCCTGTTGACATTCTGCTACTGTAGCTAACAGCTAAAGCTACTGTAGCTAACAGCTAAAGCTACTGTAGCTAACAGCTCAGTACGAATCGCGTTGTTTAGGGAAAGATAGATCTCACACTTGTCCAAATTGCTCTGATGCAAAGTGCAGCAGTTCAGTGGGTAACATGTGTGTGCACACGTGTGTGTCACGGACGCGGACACACACACACAAACACACCCACACACTCTTTAGCAACAAGCGTAAGAGCGCTGAGAAATGAATGAATGAGAATGAAGGAATGAAAAGTGTGGAGTATAGCAGAGCGACCGCAGACAGGGAGGTTACAAGTGTGTGTGTGTGTCTGTATTCTTGAATGTCTGAAGTGTTATTGCAATAGCACCATACTGAGAGCGAGGGTCAGGACAGAAGAGAGCTATACCCGTAGGAAACGCTTTTCTTTGGCCCTGCAGAGAGACACTCCCCCAGCACCCCTCGAGCACGGTCCCGGGCATATATGACAGGTTTAACACAAGCGGAGAATACGAAAGGGCAGGGAGAGACGTGTGTGAAAACGCGTGTCAGAGGAAGACGTAATGTGATGCACAATATCAAGTCCCCAACACACCTATTCCCCCACTCCCCACCACCCGCGACACTGACCCCCCTCATCGCCGCAGGGAAGCGGGCCCTGGCCGCAGTTTTTAACCGTGCCAGAGCACGGTTCCAGGAATCGTGCTCTGGTGCGAATGCCGCGGTCAGATGGCATTAGGCCCGGATCAAACTGCGAAGTGGGCCTTGGCACACTTTAACCGGGCTTTAGGCTGCGCATGTGACCGCAGCCTTAGTGTAAGGAGCCGATGGTGCAGCACGAAACACAGAAAACTGTTTGAATCTTTAGGCTTTTTAACTAGAAAAATAATGTGTCAAAAAATACAAATAAATGAGTCCATTATCAAAAGAGCAACTGAACATGACAAAACTGACCTAACACAGGACACACAAGGGGAACATTTAAGATGGGTGATCAGACCAACTAACATCAAAGGGGCTAGCAGGACTACACAAACCAAATCTATTTAAATTAGCTTTATTATAATTAAAGTAAATGACCGAAGCAATAATAATGATCAATAATACTGATAAAGATAAAATTGGAAACTTAGGTCTAAGTTTGTAAACAATATAAACTCAAATAAACCTCCCAAACTTCCTCTATTCTGGGCCTGTCATGGTTGCTTGCCATAGGGTGGGGCCTGGAGGCAACAGCTGGGAGGCTGAAGTGGTTGTAGGTCATGGATCTATAACAATATCTGGATAGGGTATTACTAGCTCATTTCTGTCCCACCAATGGGCACAGGGAGCGCCCAAACTCACGTAGGCTACCCAGAAAAATGTCCCATAGAACTCAATGTAAACTAAAACAGTCAGACTAAATATGGGCGAGTTTCGCTTATCTTTGAGTCCCCATGGCTGTCCCATGTACTACTGAGCACAAGCCAATGATTTGAAAATGACGCCATCTTAGATTGCCTAGGCTTGGTGTAGGTGGAGTCAGCCCACAGGAGAGTGAGCGCCAAGTGTGAGAGAGGAGTCAGCCCTCACAGTTAGAAACACACAAAAAGTAGCAGTAAAATAAAAACTCTGATTCAGAAATGGTGTCATAGAACAGAGCTCTATGGGTTTTATGAACAAGTTCTGGAATGAAACAAAAAGTCTTTTCAGTCTTACCATGGTAACTTAGCACAAAGAATCCAGCTCCGGAGAAGTCTGAGTGGAACTTGATAAGGATTATGTTGGAGGTTGAGTAAACAGACTCCAAGGCCGTGTTGCCGCTAAACTGTCCAATCTGTGGAGACGACTGGTCAGGGCCATCCCTGTCAACACAACATACAATCCAGGTTAGATTGAAAAGCACCTTGAGAAAATAACGTATTACTGACGACTTGAGATGTGCTTCGGTCATGAGAATGAACAACCAGTCTCTCTGAGCTTAAAAAGAGCGCTATATAACTTTTTGTATGGATTAATGTGTTTCTGTTGATAGAAAACTGACGTTCTCAGGGTTCAATAAAGTATCTATCTATCTATCTATTTATCTATCTATCTATTAATCCATCTATCTATCAGAGTTAGTAAAGAGCACAATCAAAGCCTCATGTGGTCCCAAATGAGTAGGATTCTGGTTGTGGGGTAAATACTTGTTTGTTTATCATTACTTTGATCACAAGTCAAAAACAAGAACAAGTTCTTGTGTCAAAAAGTACTACAAATTATTGTTAAAAATGTATTAAAGCTGCACTAACTGACTTTGGGATTTTGAAGCCGTGGACTCGCTGGCCTCTCTCTTTCTGCTCCCCTCCCCGCACCCACGAAGCTATCGCCCCCCCACACACACTCACTGTTGGGACGGAGCTAGTGTCTCCCAAAATGGATAATACATGGATATGGATTTGCACGTGGATGGCGTGACCATAAAACGATAGAACCGGGAAGCGCGGAGGAATGGGACTTTCTTTTGGATGGATGTTTCGCTGTGTAACCAGTAACCGGTGACGAAGACACACGAAGCTTCAGGTTAGCACCGTCACTTGTTGTGCTAACTCAGCCGTCTGTGCTAACGGACCTGTAGACTTCTCACGAAAGTGGGGGCCAGTGGTCCGTTGTGATTGGTCACAATCTGCGACCCGAAACACATTCTCTTCCTTGTTTCATCAAAACTCGATCTAAAATATAATGTCACGCCAGCACAAATCTGCGCTAATTATTCTTCAAAAGGACGTATATCCCAATGCACTACATGGACATGGATAGCATTTTCGTAATGAATACGAAAATAAAGTCAGTTAGTGCAGCTTTAATACATGAAACCTGTATTGACCCAAAGGGAATTTGTATGTTATTGTTACAGTAATTAGACAATGTCCTTTGACTTAAACCCCGGGGGGTAGGGCCTTCTCTGCGGCTGGACCAAGGCCCCAAGTCAACCCCAAGCTTTTATGGTCCTCTGTGTTTTTTTTTTGACTGGTTTATGGTTAGAGCAAATGAAATCAAATTGGGCCTTTCATATAACTTTTGTCTTTTTTCTACTCACTTCTCACTACTGGGAAGCTCTTTGGAAAGAGTCTTGTTTAGAAAAATGTGCTATATACATGAAGTGGATGGGATAATACAAAAATAAAAATACGCATGTGTGATTGGTCCAACTAATTCCAAAAATAAAAAAAATCTAATTCTGTCTCACGTCTCAATACAGACTGTTGTCCTTAACAAACCCTTTTCCCCCATTTCTAACTTTTGAATGTCCAACAAATAACAAAATAACATTAGTAGCAAACCAAACAGCTGCGTGTAAGGGTCTTTACAAGTAAGCCTAAAACATAATTCATAACTTACTCCCATAATTTGCGACAGTTGAATGCTATTTAGGTTTAGGAAATGCTTGCCTGAAGGCTCGGAGCAAAGATCGAAGTGAGTTAATGATATTTATGAGACAAAGCCTGCAGCTGCTCCATTGACTGCAAATAGAGATGGACATTGTGTGACAAAGTACCGGTGCCAAGAGCGATTGTGCTCGGATATTGCTCCATCTTGCCTTTCGTAACAATCCCAACTACAATGTCGCAAAGCTCATTTTGATGTAAAACCTCCGCTCTCCTTTGTCTAAAGATCATAACATCGCCCAAAGCAACCGGCAGCTTATCCGATCAGCTATGGGATGTTCATAAATATTGATTACAACATTGTCATATTATGAGAATAACAAATTGTGGGTGAAGAGTTGAATACAGTTTGCCAGCGATGAAAATTAAAATGATTATAGTTGCTGTAATTCAGTTCACATACGGTCGTTCTAAACTTGTGTAAACCAGGAACTCTACTTACAATACTTTTTAATATGAATAATCTGAGGTGTGGGTGGTTTGGCCAACTAATGTATTTTGACCATTTGAGTGAAGGAATGTGGGTGTGGAGGCGTTGAAGACACAATAGAGTCTGATTTTGTTTCTAAAATAAATGAGTTCCTTGCACTTACACCAAGAAATGAATATCAATGTATGAATATAGGGACAGCCTGCAGGAGGAGTTCAGGGCTTGGGGTCATTGACTGCCATTGACGTATTTGTCTGAGACCCTCTGTCCGACTGAGGATTACAGGACAACAAAAATAGCTAGAAAGAAACTTATTTTTGCTGATGAAAGTAGACAATCCAGTCTTTCAGAATCTGGTTTCATATTTCACACAGTCTTAGGATATAATATTCTGTGGGTCTTAAGAATCAGTGAAATAATCAAAAACGGCTGGCAGTCGAGTTAATATGCATTTTAACTGTAAATAAATGTGTGGGTTAGGTTCAATATCCAAATAACTGAAAATAATAACTTTATAATTAAAGTTGGATTGATTGATAGATGAATATTTTACTGTATCATATATTATGATGACATATTGTAGTTGAATACAGTTGAGAACAGTGGTGTGTGTTGATCTTTAGCATAGAATATATGCGACACATGCGATAATTGATGGAATTATTCAGTTGGACGCCGCAGTATGAGACCAATTAGTGGACTAACTGACTGTCAGGTTGGCCGGCTCTGAACTGGAAGAAACTGCTGAGAAAATCACACCTTTGCCACAAGTACTGGGGCTCTCTGCGGGGAGCCAACTCTGTGGCTGTGGCTACTGTAAGAGCTGCTGTGTGGGCATGAGACTGGAGGCCATCTTCTCTTTGTAGTCTCATTTCTATCTCACCGCAGGGTCAAAGACATACGCCACTGCCAATTTGAGGAAATCACAGAGTCCGTTTGTGGTTTGGTGAGATCCAATGTGCCGATTCCATATAAAGGAAAGAAGAGGAAGGACCACGCCCCATACATCCAAACAAGCTGCTATCTTCAAACCAGGTAGAAAGCTTTCCTTGTTTCCTTGTTTCCTTGTTGCACTTACAGGTGGAACTCGCAAAATCAGTTAGAGAGTGATTGAAAAGTTTTGAATTAATCAGCGTTGGTTGAAAAAAAAGATTCAACACATCCAAAAATATGTGAAGTATTCAGGCAAATAGTTGATTAGTACAAAAAAGCCTTTATTCGGAATGGCTCCCGAAAAAAAAATGCTCTCAACTTATCAAAAATATCAGGAAAAACATTTATTGTTGATGTCTAGTTTAAAATAACCCGAGACATTTTCTTCAGTAGTTTCTCGAGATATTAATAATTTTTATATAGCATAATAATGGGGCAAATGCAGAATAACCAAATATGGACTTCTTGCCCCACCCACTCAGTCATCGTTGCCACCCAGACGTTCTTAATCCAGTACAATGGAGTGAGTGTGAAACTTGTAATGTTTGGAAATGCAGAGGAAATTTGTCTGTTTTTAAAGTGCCTGTCGACTGAAGCTAGCAGTTGTTTGTCTAAGGTTTGAAGGCCACTGGAATGGAATCTATGGTGTTTTAATAGCTAATACCGGGAAGCAGTGGAGGCTGAGGTGGCAAGTGGATCTCTACAATTACTGACATGCTTGTCTTTGTACGGCCAATGGGTGAATTTTAAATGTATTTTAGTAAATACATTTCAAATGTGAAACCAATATATGATATATATAGACTCATTACAAGTAGAGTGACACATGCTAAGCCTTTGTTTATGATCATATGGATGAGTATGGCTTTCAGACCATTTTCAAAATAATCCATCTATAATTTAATTTTCTAACGTAATGATTTATTTGCTGTTTCAACAAGATGTGTACCATAATTACCAACATTATAACAAATAAAGTTTTTTTTAATACATCTCACTTTACATGTAATGAGAGTCTATATCCTGAGAGTTGAATCACTGAAGTAAATGGACGGTTGAGATATATTATAATTTACAGTACAGTAAAGAAATGCATTTGTTTATATTCCATATAAGCAATAGATAAAAACACAGTCAATAATGTTGCCATTGAATATAAAAATACATAAATACACAAAAAGAAACCTGCATAACAATTGCTCGAAAATATAAAAAGGCAGAACACAAAACGTGACATGAAGGCTATTATGTAATTATGTCACAGTAGCTAATGTTTCGAATGGATGTCTGTAGTCATGGTAACCTCTAGGAGAAGTTTAGCCAATTAGTGGTGAGCTCTGAATAGATGCTAAAGAGCATGACTTCAGGAGGGAAAAGAAAGAAAATGTCACACCAATTAAATAACTCTTAGAGGAAAGAACATTTAATAGACCTTCAGTAATTATGGCAATTATATAACGTGATGTAGTGTATCCTTTTAATAAAAACACAACAAAATAAGAATGTTGTATTCCACCCATAGGGTCATTTTGAAAAGTGATGGAAGATCAGAATACGGTCTTAAATTGCAGTGATAGAAATAGACTTATTACTCCAATGGGTTCTTAACCCTTTCGGTGCCACAGAATTGCTACATGAAAGCCATATTCCAGGACACTTCCTATACAGTGACCTGGCTTCCCACAAATATTTCCCTAAACCTTTCTTACATATTGTCTCCTATTTGTGTATGTTATTGATTTTAGTAGTCTTCTATCTCTTATAGAGTTTTAGGGATCCATCTTTTGTCTGTTTCAGATTTCTGAAAAACATTTTCTCTTGTTCACCAATGTTCAGTTTTTCTCAAACTGCAGTGATTGCAAGTCTACCTAATACTACTCTTTCAGAGGGCTATTAAATAGTTTATTTATTTATTTAGTCTAAATATGGTTGTATTCTTCAACTCTAGATGTTTTAAGAAACTTCCCCAAAGTGAGTAAAGGCTGTCTTATCTTTTTATGGAGTATATTTTTATTCTTCTACTATATTAGTAGAAGAATAAAAATACTGTAAAATACGATACAATAAAATA